ACTCATCTCTCATTTTTTACATAGAAGTACTGTATATCGATTTAATTTAATTATCTAATGATTTGAATATTAGCAAAATTTTGCCAATTTTGCTGGATTCCCTACTCTTGCGCCAATCCTTTGGAAATGTCGAGAGCGACCAATGCCGATCGGGACAGCTGTTTCGCCCTCGTATTAGCCCGCCCCAGTGACTCGTGAATGGACGCGAAGGCGCCGGAGCTATTAGCTTTAAGAAACGCACCTACAATATATAACAATTACACAACCAGCACAACATTATGCCGGCATCGTATCCACCGGCGCCAATATGCCTTTAACACGGGGGTTAGCGTCTTTACCGGTTTTGAGCAGTTCCGGTTCAACACGGTTGAGGAGTTGATCGACCCGTTGCAGACTGTGGTCAGCCCGCTCTTTCAGCTCCGTGTACAGGAGGGGCGGCAGCTCCACCGTGGAGTAGTGAGTGTGCGGATACCTGTACAGAGGATTACACACGGATTGTCACAGTTAGCGACACAGAGGAAGGGGATTAACAATGCCGGGTGTCACGCGCAGATGCTCCGCTGCGGCCGGCAAACAATGCTCGCAGACAGCCGTCACACACGTAATGCGCCCGAGACGGATTATGCAACAGAAAGCGCCGCCGGGGCTACGGCACACGGGCCACTGCTGCCCGGACAATGGGCCGCTGCACACTTCCGCCTTGCCGCCGCGACACTGTTGCGTTAGATTAATACACTTCCCATTATATTACGTACGCGAATGCAGTCTAAAATTATTTTCAAAACTGTCTGTAGTAAAAATTTGATTGGTAAACTATAACACTCGTACAGCATGTACTGTATTACAGACTGCGGTGTAAACATATTGCGGAAACACGAGTCAACAAAGCACTGAAATTAATAATATAAATAATTATTGAAGCTGCTGCGTGTACGTACTGCAGTGTGCGCTTATTGTTGTGTATTACTAACATAGACAGAATAAAAATGTTTTCAACAGCAAAATACCATCAGGCTTCCTACTACGAGTATACGTTTAGCCGTTACACAGTCTGTTTTAGTTTCCGCAGCAGGTTCGACTAATTCGAGTATCGTATTCGAAACATGACGCTTTGATTAATGCTTTATGGTAACAGATAACACCAACGATAGCCACCAAAATATACGTTATTATACAGATATTACATACTTCGTTGGTCTTATAACATAAAATAAAATTTTCTAATAATATAATTATTATAGGACCAGACACAGGCACTATGTACTTCCGGCATAACAAGTTCACGTTCCTGGAAGCCAGCACATAGCAATTTTTTCTTCAGCATTTTCTCTCAATACCCTTTTCGTATATTAGTGGAAATGTTACAATAACAGTTTAAGAAATTGACTTTGGAGACCGGCAGAAGCTCCGATACACGATTTGATTCTTGCAGGACTATCAATGCCTGAACTGCATAGATATCATACCCTAGTAATCTACGATCTAATGAACCTTTAGATTTATAGTTCTGTTTCACAAAGTACGTTAAAACGTTAAACGTTAGTAGTTCACGTTAAAACGTTTCGCAAATAAAATTATTGCGCTTAAACAATAAACACTTTCCTTATAAACTTCTGAAGTGTCATCATAACGCATTTTATGCTAAAATTACAAAAAGTTTCCTAGTTTCTTGTTTTCGACATTTTTCTTTGACTACACATAAGAACTGAATAAGAACTTCCAGTATCTGGATTACTGGAAATAATTAAAAAGGTCTACTAAATGGCTTTTCAGAATTTGAAAAATCCCTCGCTTCGCAAAAAAATCATTCTGATCGTCTGCGACGAAGAAGCTGGACAGAAAAATCACTGACCTTTTCATATAAGACTGTGGCGAAGACTGGTACGACGCATGCGCCAGCGGCACATTGGCTTCCACCGTAATATAATTTACGGAACCGGCGCCCGCACCAGTCGCTCCCGTCGCCGCCGCTTCCGGCTTTCCCATCAACGTCTCCACCGGCACCCCGTTCCCCACGGCAATCGACCGCACATTCTGCAGCGGAATATTCCCCGCTTCCGCCGGAAGTCCCCCCGGAAGTGCCGCCATCAACTCTGGATACGCCCGCAGCGTCAAATGACTCGGGAGTTGATTCAACTCTCCATCACTGTCATTCCTTGGCGCGACACTGGTCTTTCCGCGGCCATTCAACGCGGAGATGGTGCTGATGGTGGAGCGGATGCCGCCCGGGAGGGTGGTCAGGTTGGCGGTAATGGAGCATATTATGCAGGGAAGTAACAACAACACGGAGATCACAGTCAGCGACATGGTGAGAACAAACTGCGCCGGTGCCGGCATGAGCAGGGCTCCGCGCGCTGCGGCAGTTGCGCCAGTGGGCAATTAATCCGGAAAAATCCGCCAGCAGATCGTCCGTCCGCCCGCCGGGGTCAATCAACGTATCATCTCGCACATGTGTGAATCAACGCGCCGGCGGGATTTGTTAACAATTTTCAAATACAGCAACACTATCTTTGATACAGCGCATATATATTACTCAGCCTAAACAACTGCCGAGTCTGTCCGTTAATTTAAAGGTCAATCAACGTATCAACGCGCCGCCAGGATTTTACTAACAATTTCCAAACACAGCAACACTAACTTTAATACCAATATATATACCAAATATACGCATATATATAGCATATAAAAAATCAACGGAGTCGGTCCGTTAATGTATAGCGCACATATATCACACAGTGTAAAAAAATCAATGAAGTCTCTTCGTTCAATATACACCGCATATATATCACACACAACGTTTAGTCTGTCCGTTAAAAATTAAAGGTCACTCTTGCGCGGTGCCGGTCAGATGCGAGAGCTGCTTAACGGTGGACTGATGCGTGTGCTGCTTAAAGAAAAGACATCGTTGTTCCATCCAGCAGCGTTGTATTTGTTTTGCGTAATGCTAAGTGGATGGATATGGGGTTATGATGGTGACAGCCTGACAGTTGTCTCCTCTACGGCGTATTCGCGCAGCATCCACTGAACGGGTCAAGTTGGACCCGCCATTATCACTGACCATTTCACTTAGCAATTATTACTCTTTCCGCCAACTGTTGCCGAATATGAATCGTCATTACCCGGGTTTTGTCATTAACCTTTAAATAATTTTTATCAGAGGACAATTGCCGCCACTTAACGGCACCTTTTCCCTAAGTAACCGCAGAACGAACCCGGTTAACCGGTTACCGGGTTGGAGTGCCGTGTGAGCGGGATGGATACAAGGGGAAAAATCATAAATTAGTGTGGTGGTGTTTAAAAAAGGTAATTAGCGGGTTGAGATGTATCGTTTACAGCTGTACACGGTGCGTAGCACTTTGTCCGATTATGCTAATCCCCGGAGATAAATTAGCCGGTGATGGTGGTGGTGGCATACACAGCCCAGTCAAGTTCATGGTCAAGTGCGCATCCAACACCGCTGAACAAAACTCCATTCACGGCTTTCATATAATATAGCCAAATATAGGAAATTAAGCGGCAGATAAACATTATGACGCTGCTGAGATTTTTGACAAACTGGCAATTGCCTACCGGTTTGCTGTTCGCATAAAAAGACCTGAAATCGCTGCTACCGCGCTTGGATAAGATACTGATAATTTTTATCGTAACACAAGGAACTAAGCTCATGTTTGGTTTATTCGAATATTAAATAGCACGGTATTATTTTCGTTTTTGATTATTTTTTATTATTTCTAAAAATGAGCATGATTATTGTTTTATTATTGTAGAATAGCGTATAAATTGTAAGTGATGATAAGCTTAACCGCACATGGAAAATATTATTTATCGCGTCTTATGGAAAATATTTATCAGAGGTAATCGATTTCGATGCCCGAGTTTATTTTTGTATGGGTAGAAGTGCAGCTGCATTATATCTGTACCGTAGTACGCGCATACATATCCTTGAATGCTGGGAACGGTTTTCCACAGCAGTTGTAATTTCCATAGTGTATTGCTGGCAGCTTGTCAAAAAATGAGCTAATTATGGCGCAATATGTTCCCTTTAATAATTAGTGCATAACATGTGTGTTTATTGTAATTAGGTGGCCGAAAGCGAGGCTGAAATCACCTTGATCCAGACGCAGCACCGCGCCGGCTGTGGGTCAAGTGGACTGAATCAGGCGCTGTGACACGCGGTGATATGTGCTGCTGCTCCATCGCCGCATTATGCTGCCTTCACGCGAAGCGTCATCGCAAATATTGACCCTCTTGCATAATAATTATTGATTTTACCTGGTTAACATCGCTACTATGCAAGCTCTACAGTGCAGTACTGTACACCTACGCACATACTGTATACTCGCAAGGATTATTCGACGCATCCGAGAAAACAAATCGTCAACCGCCATTTCAGTAGTACAGCTCAGCTATTTGTATCCAGCAATAACATATTTAACGACGGCGCCTTTCAACTGAAAAAAATAACAGACATCCGATGTCTAAGTAAGTACTTCAAAGTAGCGATAATTCTGTAATGACGAGGTATATCGACAATGCTGCATCATCCGTAACAAATACATGGAAACCTTTAATACAGCGCAATACAAGTACAAACTACCGGTATTAGTACCAAAACTGATGAAGGATGGCAAGACAGTAATTATTAATATTATAAGGCAGAAAATTAAGTTCTTTGCAACAAATTCGTACGATGGCCAAAAGGAATACCGTTTTGGCGGTAGTCGCAGACGGGGCAACTCACAGGTGTATAACAAAAAAGTGTATAAGTTACATCTTATTAGGTTTTTTAAAACAATTAAGATTGGAATGGAATTTTCGTTTTTCACCATCTGACAATTGTGTTCTGCTGTCGACACTCTACAGTCTACACTCTTTAGAGTTAATAGCGGCTCGGGTTGATATAGCTCACCGCCAACGGGTGAGCGGCATTCATATGAAAAAATCGCAGCGGTGTGCCAGTGACTGTCGGCAAGACCAGCACAGGAACCAAAATATCCTCTGCAGTGTCTTACATGAGTTCTTGTCGTTGTAGTTCTATGAATTTTTCAATTTTCATTACCTGTTTTCGCTGACCCATAAACTGTTGACAGATTTGAAATTCTTGGTTGATATTGACTTCAGGTGCGTTTTGAATGGTGATGCAGTGTTCGCTGTTTATGTCGCACTCTGGCACATCCATTTGTAATCTCCATCCGCAGGTTGACTATCTGGTACAGATATGTCTCAGAATGGCATCCAGTTGGTGGATGTGGGGAATCCCGCCTTAGTATCTGAGCTTGGCGACTATGTGAAACACCTGTTAGTCAGCGAAGACATGAGCGATGTTCAGTTCGCTGTGGGACGTGATTATGGAGTCGTGAAGATCTTTCCAGCTCATAAGTATGTCCGAACTTGATTTGTAACAGCCGCTCATGTCTTTTCTACTTGCCAAATGCGTTGGGTTTTGTTAAGTTTGTTTGCATTTGTGAGTTTTTGCAGGGTCATAATGGGTGTCCGCAGTCCCGTGTTCCACACGATGTTCTATGGAAGTTTACCCGATAACTGCACATCTCCCATCGAAATCCCTGAAGTTTTTCCTGACGCGTTCGCCAATATGCTCAGGTATGCATCACAATGACTGTCATCCGGTTGTTACGGTACTTATTTGTCTCTCTTCACCGAATGCTGTCTCACGGTAACACAGAAGATTCTGCAGCTACTTGTACACCGATGTGGTGGGAAATTTCACTCTGGACAACGTTTTCCACACACTGGGCTGCGCCGACAAGTACGACTTGCCCCTGCTGCTAGCCATGTGCGCTGAATTTGTCCTGAATCAGCTCAACATCAGCAACTGTCTGGATATGCTGGATAGTGTAAGTTTGCCGTAATAGCTGCACCTCCTTTGCAATTAACAATCGCGTTTGCTTAGGCGGTGCACTATGGAAACGTCGCGCCAAGTATCCTGGAAAAATGCTTAAGCCTGATTGACGAATCAGCCAAATCTGTCTGGCAGTCGGCTCGATTCTTTGCGATCGGGCAAGAGGCCCTACGCGCGATTCTCAGTCGGGACACTCTGACCGCCAACGAAGATTTAATCTATTTGGCTGTTGACAAGTAAACGAAACGTTCTGTTCTACTTCAACTGGACATAGCGTCGATTTCCGTATTGGTCGCATTTCTGGTAGGTGGGCCGTCAGCATGTGCACGCGAAGGAACTTGGACCCTTCGTTCGGCAATCGGCGTGAGGTATTGGGCGAGGCGTTGTTCCTCATCCGGTTTCCGCTCTTGACGGATAATGCAGCTGCTGGATGGGCCCGTGAAGGTATGCTGGTCACATCGATTCGTAGGTTTTGTTTTTTGACTCGTATGTGAAATGTTTTGGGTTCTTCAGAGTGGTTTGTTGCTGCAATCGGAGGTACTGAACATCTACCACTACAAACACGCCACCATCAAACCGCATCTGCCGTATTCTACGAAACCCCGACAAAGTCAGTTTGGCGGTGCGTTCTTTAAATACTGCAAGCGTGTTGTAAAAATACTTCGGTATTTCTAGATGTGCGGGCTGAGGGTGTAATTAATTATACGGTTCCTGATGTCAGGGCACTGCCGGAGCTACCTGCCTTTTCGTTAAGCGAACCCATTACTGTCAGAAAACTGCTCTGGTGAGTGACTCAAAAGCAACCGGAAACTGGCAAGATGGGGGAAAGATAACACCCTTGATGTCTGTTTTGCAGGAGCCTTTATGTCACAAAGTTAACTGACGGTGATTCTGCTTATCTGACCTTCCGCCTGTGGTGTTGTGGCGGTCCGAAACTGACGTCGTGGACGTGCCAGGCTTATGCAAACATGCGTGTGCTGCCATGGAAAACGGAAACTGCACCAATTACGAAACGTATGTGTACGCAGTTAGTTTAATTTCCGACAGCGACAACCTATGATTATGACCTCGCGAAGGGGCTAACTTGAAATTGTGTAGAGACATCCCACTTGTTCAACAATGCATATGGTTACGGTTTCCCGAAATATATCGCAATGGAGGTAAGGGTGTGGAGCCGGGAAATTGGTAACTTGGTATTCATGAAAGTTTGCATTTTTAGCAGTTACTGGATACGGCGAGAGGATACGTTAATCCTCAGGACTTCTCCTTGAGATTGCAACTCAAAGTGACTGCTGACCTTCCTACTGGAAATTCTGTAATGAATTGAGAACAGTGCGCATGCGGATCACTGTGAACGTATAAAAATTAGGAATCAAGTGATGCGGCAGAAGGGAAATAAATTTGCGTTCTCAAAGGTCATAAGTTTCCTAGCACAGCACAGAGTAGATGGTGGTTAATTGTTCCTGTGCGTTTACGGATTTTGTACCGATTCTTGTTGCTGAATTTTTGGTAACCTTTAGGATCACAACTGGATTAGATAAAAAGAAATACTTCCATTTAAAGGTTCTCATATTCGGAGGAAATTCTGATGCTTTTCTATCAGAACACTGGGAACAGTACCGGCTATATAATTTGTCATGCGTGGGGGATCTAGACATGATTGCTTGAATTCAGTGAGCTCACCAGTACAATAAATAAACCGCGATTGCATACAAACAGTACGATGTACGCCTGTCTAATGTGTTTATTATTTTTAATGCACCGCAGCGAGTGTTTTTTCTATAACCCTCTAAAAAATATGCAACAAAAAACCCGTAAAAAACAATTCCAGATAAAGGTAACAAACCATCCCGTCAACTGCACAAATGCCACTATTCCACAATTTTTTTTCCCCGAACGAGCACACAATTTCTGGCATCGCCATGATGAACACGACCTCCTTGGCGAACTTCACCATCTACACGCAGCACATTTCGTCCAAAAAATAGATAAAAAATTACAGACAATGGACTTCGTCACTTCGTTACAAACAGTGGACTTCATAATGATGTGTGCACACCAACAGGACCACCGTCGACAACGCTTTGCATATGGACTGGTATGCGTAAAGGTCATGCGGATGTCCAGTGTACCATTCAACCTGTAAGGAACCGGTTCGACTCGTAGACACTATTATAGCATATCGGCTATCGCATAAGGAGGGGTTCTCTTTATAGCATTCACTTTTTTATAAGAGTTACATTCAGTTTTCGCGGAACCGAATGTAATTTTACTGATGCAGAGAGCATTTGCATAGCATTCAAGTCCGGTTGTATACAGATAACAACTTAACGGTGTGAACCGGATGCATTTCGATGCATTCAGCTGATGGTGAGTGTCGAATAGTAACGAGCAACATTCTCGTTTGACAGAAATTACCTATCTAAAGCAGCCAGCAACGTTCATTAAGAAAGAATAAGAATTTTTATTATGTGTATTGTATACCAATGACTAATTCTCATGATCTCTTTTGCACGACTCCTGCACCGATATCTTCTCAGCGTAATTTTATGAATTTGATCATTTCGTCTTTTCGCTGAATCATAAATTGTTTGTTGATTTGAAATTCTTGGTTGATATTGGCTTCAGGTACGTTTTGGATTTGTTCTGCCGTCACTGCGGCCCACGCAAATGATGCAATTGGGATTTGGATCCGCAGGTTCACAGTCTGCAGAATGTCTCGAAATGCCATCCAGTCCTTGGATGCGGAAAGCCGTGCTGGGCTCAAAACTCGGCGACTATGTCAAGTACTTGTTAGTGAGCGAAAACATGAGCGATGTCCAGTTCGCGGTGGGGCGTGATTATGGAGCCGTGAAGATGTTTCCAGCTCACAGGTACCGTATTTTACCAATTAGTGACCGCAGCGTTACTATATCTTTGTAAAGGTTATGGGACCTTTATTTCGGGGCAAAATATTTTTAAGGTGCGTGTGCCCGGTCGAACGTTACGTAATGCGTTGTTTTAACTGTAACGAGAGTGGACATGTGCCCAAGTTCTGCAAAATGCCGAATCAATGCAAAGCTGTTGAAGAACCCGAAATAATGGGTTCAAAAAACTCGCAGGGGTAAACAGCGATAAAAAGTATATGCGAGTTACGAATGTTAATCCAAAACATTTTCGAAATATAAAAATCAAATGTTGCAACATTAACAGTATATTTTCTAAGAAAGAAGAAGTTAGGCAGTTTTGTTCTGAGTCTGATGTTAGTGCGCTTACGGAAACGTGGGATCAAGAAGTTTATTCTGATAATTTTTTTGCTGACCTACGCAAATTTAACGTTTTTCGCCAATGGCGGAAATCGTCGGACAGCCACGGTGGAGTTGCTTTAGTTTTATCGAAAAAACTAAAAGGTTTCAGGCGCACAGATCTCGATAGAGATGATCTGGAAATTTTGTTGGTAGAATCGCCTGTTCTGGACTGTTTATTTGGTGTTGTCTATATACGACCTTCAAAAAAGGCTTTGCTAATACCGGTACTTGTTGAACATTTACAAGAAAATCTTTCCGTCGAGTTACGTAACAAGCTTATTTTGATGGGTGATTTCAACCTGCCAGATATCTGTTGGAATAGTATGAGAGCCCCTACCACTGCGTCTCAGCTGTTGCTTAATTCTATGAAGGAATTTAATTTTCGCCAACTTATACACTTCCCCACTAGAGAAAACAACATCCTTGATCTTTGTTTGATTTCTACGCACCGCTTTGTCACGGACGTTGAATGTGTGTCACCTCCATCCGCTTCGAATGACCATTATGCTTTTCAGTTCCGCGTTTATTATAAATGTCGTAAAACTGAATTTCAGTCAGGTGGTAAGCACTGGAAAATTCCTCCTGATAAAATCGAACCTTTTCAAAATTCATTAACTGCAACAGATTGGCAGTGTGTCTTAACAGATAGTGACCCATCTGTTATGGCAACACAGTTGGAAAACGAGATTTTAAACGTTGCACAGCGTTTTTTTACGTACAGCGAACGTACAGCTAAAAAAACTAAAAATATCCGTTAGCCATTCGTAAAGCGATAAATCGTAGAAATAGGCTATTCCGCAAAATGCAGCAAGAAAATAATGTAGCAAAAAAAGACAGTTTGAAAGGATTATGGAAGGCCGATTCTCTGAAAGTCGACACTATTCTCAAAGCACACCGCAGGAACGCCATTTTAGACGTTGCGACGGCGACCAGAAATAATCCGAAAAAGTTTTGGCAGTTTATCAAACAATGTGTTGACAAAAAAACTCTGCCGCCCATTAAAACGCCAGAAGGTACCACCCTTTTTTCAGACGGCGACAAAGCAAACAGATTTAACGAAGTGTTTCTCGAGTCTCAAAACAACTGCCCTTCTCATTGCGCTATTTTGCCTCCCAAACCTAGAAACAGGGAAATTGTTTTTAAAATAAGCGAGAATGACGTTTTAACGGCTCTAAACGAAATGAAATTCTCTTCCTCTTCCGGTCAGTTCAAAATCTCTAACTCGTTATTAAAAGCATGTGGCAGCTCAATTGTGACACCCCGCTTGTTACTTTGTTTAATGCTTGCGTCAAATGCAGTACATTTCCGTCGCACTGGAAAACGTCATACGTGACACCACTTCCCAAAACGTCTGTTGACCAAAGGGTGATAACTAATTACCGCCCTACTGCAATTCTGCATCCTACTTCAAAAATTTTTGAAAGGTGCATTGCGAACTATTTACGATGCTTTCTGGAAAGTAATTGCTTGTTAAGTGAAAACCAGTTTGGATTCCTTGCTAAACGTAACACGGAACTGCAGTGTTTGGTTTTTTCGAAATTTGTTAAGGACTTTATTGATACCGGAATTGAAGTTGATGCGATAATGTTAGACTGCACTAAAGCCTTCGATCGGGTAGATCACCATTCCTTGTTGACAACACTCGGTTTGCTTGGTATTGACCCCGACGTTATTAGTTTGTTGAATAACTATTTACTTGGTAGGCAACAGATTGTAGTCGTGAATGGTGTATTTTCAAAACGTGGGGTAGCTACAAGCGGAGTACCACAAGGTTCGGTATTAGGCCCAAATCCCAATACTGTTTATTTGCGAAATTAACGGGTTGGTGTTTGTTCTGCTTAATGGTAGCAGGATTTTTATTTTCGCTGATGATGTGTTTTTATGTAGGCCTATAATAACAGGCGACGACTGCACAAAATTTCAAGAAGATATTGATGCCGTATATAATTCAGCTCTTGCTAAACGATTGACCTTTAACCCGAAAAAATCAGTACACATGCGCTTCTCCATGAAGCGAAGTTTGAATGACGTACATAAATATGTTCTGAACAACGTTGAGATTGAAAATCATCCTGTCGCCAAATATTTAGGGTTGTTGGTCGATCGAAAACTGCGGTGGAGTGAACACACGAGTAGTTTGTGTACCAAGATCCGGAAGCGCATAGGCTACATTTTATCGCTTTTTAACCATTATGATTCTGCAGCACTTATTTGTTTATATAAAGCATTAATTTTTCCCCTTTTCGATTATTGCAGTCCAGTTGTTAAACCCTTTTTTAAAACTCATAGAGACGATCTAGATAAATGTGCGCTGAAATTTCTGAAAAGATTGCGAATGGGCAGTGCACTTACGGATTACTGTGGCCGGCTTCGCGAAATAAACTGGGACGGGGTTGAATTACGTCGCATTAAAACCTCTTTGTGTGTTGCATATAAACTCGTATTTGGCATGCTACCTTTCGGTAACAACTTTTTCATTAGTTATGAGTCAGTTACTGCCGCTAGCACTGTTGCAGGTAACACTCGGAATGCTGATCGGATGTCGCGCCACCCGTTCCCGATCCAAGCCGCCAGGACCAGTTTTTGTGGAACGGAAGTGCCAGCCAGCGAAGACTCCTTCGCATGGAGGATCGCTAAACTCTGGAATGATCTCGATCTGGATCTATCGTCGTACCGCTCACTGCAAGCCTTCCAAACAGCACTGGAAGACGTCTCATGGAAGGAGATCGCATCTGCTGAAGACCACCTGCCATCGAATAACCTTGACCTCTGATAAAATCGATGAATTGTTTATTTCTTTCTTTTAAGAGTTTAAAATTGTTGTTCCTGCTATTTGATTATGTTGACCTGTCTATAGATCTCGATAAGGAGTGATTCCTTGTATCTGTAGGCATTAAGCAATTAAAACCTAAACCTAGGGAAGAGGTTTTCAAGGCAGACCATTCAGTGGGCCGGAGTAGGCTGTTTTCGGGTGGGCTTCTAATGTAGAGAACTGATAAAATAATACGGTGTAGTTCGACATTTCCTGCATTCCTGACATTTTTACAATATGGACCACGAATCGGACACCGGAGTCGAATTATATTAATGAGCATAATTCGACTGCAGTTCGTGTAATCCGGTTTGTTCTGATCTGTACGACTTGCGAAATCCGTTTGGTTGTGTTAATTAAGTTTTTAGTTGTCAGTTTCGTTATGCAGGCCCTTACTGCAGGGTCATAATGGGAGTGCGCAGTCCTGTTTTCTACACGATGTTCTACGGAAGTTTGCCCGATAACTGCGCATCTCCTGTCGAAATCCCCGACGTTCATCCGGACGCTTTCGCCAACATACTCAGGTAGAACCGCCCGCGTCATCCTCTTATTACGGGTAGTTGTTGGCTAAGTGTATCATTAGAACACAGAAAATTGTGCAGCTACTTGTACACCGATGCGGTGGGGAACTTTACCCGGGATAACGTCTTCCACACAGTGGACTGCGCGGACAAATACGACTTGCCATTGCTGGTAGCCATGTGCACCGAATTTGTCCGGGATGTGCTCAACATCAACAATTGCCTGGATATACTGGATAAGGTAAGGTTGGCCATAATATCCGCCCCTTATCTGTTATCGGCAAGCCGTTCTGCTCACAGGCGTTGCACTACACGAATATTGCGCCAAGTATCCTGGAAAACTGTTTGAGCCTGATTGATGAATCACCAAAATCTGTCTGGCAGCCGGTTCGGTTCAGTGCAACCGGACACGATGCCCTAAGCGCCATTCTCAACCGGGACACTCTGACCGCCAACGAAGATACCATCTGTGCGGCGGTTGACAAGTCAGCGAATCTTTAAGCTCCTTTTTCAATGAGACATAAAGTCGAGTGCCTTGCCTTTCTATTGGTCGTTTTGTTGGCAGGTGGGCCACCAACATGTGCACACAGAAGAATCTGGACCCTTCCTCCACCAATCGGCGTGAAGTATTGGGTCAGGCGTTGTTTCAAATCCGGTTTCCGCTCTTAACGGATATGCAGCTACTGGATGGGCCCGTAAAGGTATGGCGATTTGCGGCAGTGTATTATATACTAAAAGATTAAAACGGTGCTCGTAAAGCATCTCCACTGGAATTGCTCATTCAGCGCTCCTAGAGAGTGGTTAACTGTTCTGGTTGAAAAAGGATGCAAGGCCACGAAATCAGCTGTGATTACGATACAAGAATCGAGATAAACCAGAACCATGTGTCCAGATCGCAGGCCCGATCTATTTGAATGTCCTTTTACTCATTTACGAACGAGTCGGAACGACAAAACTAAACTAAAGTCTCTGTTATAAGCAGTCTGGCCATGCTGCGCAGCCTGCGCTCATGGTCAGCTGGCAACTGGACAGTTAGTTACATCGTGAACCGTTCAAACGACATTTATCCCCTTTACTATTTTGCCACTGATTACGGATGACCTGACCAGCCTGTGCTAATGTCAGCCCTGTGAAAGACCGATTAGTCTTGCGTAGATTTAAACAGTGATCCACCGGAATGCGATCAAGCCTGATGGATGCGAAATATTTTGTTTTCTTCAGAGCGGTTTGTTGCTGCAATCGGAGTTACTGGACATCTACCACTACAAGCACGCCACCATCAAACCGCAGCTGCCGTTTTCGACGAAACCCCGACACAGTTCGTGCGTTCGTTTGAAAAAATGCTACCTTTTGGCATGTTTAGATGGGCGCGCTGAGGGCGTTATTAGCTATACGGTTCCAGATGTCCGGGCGCTTCCGGAGGTACCTGAGTTTAAGTCAAGCGAACCAATTACACTCAGAAAACTGCGCTGGTGAGTGCCTCACCGATTAGAAACACAATTAAAAAGATGGGGGAAGGGATATTCGCCCTTGATGTTTAATGCAATGCAGGAACATCTACGTCGCAAAGACAACTGACGGTGAGTCTGTGCATCTAACGTTCCGCCTGTCATGTTCTGGCTGCCCGAAACGGACGTCATGGACGTGCAGATGCAGAGATGCAAGTGCTGCCATGGAAAAACGGAAACTGCACCAATTAAAAGACTTATGTATTGTACGCAGTATGTATCTGTACCGTATATCTAAATTTCTCTCTATGGGTCAGTGTAACCTGTGACAACCTTAATTTCTCTCCATCGGTCAGTGTAACCATGATTATGACCTTCAAAACGGTGTTGTTACATTTTGCAGAGACATCCTACTTGTTCAACAATAAGTACACTTGGGGATTCCCAAAATACATCTCTATGGAGGTGAGAGTTTAGCCGAGAAGGAGCAGGGTGACAAATTGCTCACCAACGTTCATATTTCCAGGAATTGCTTGGTCCGGTGAAAGGATATGTTAATCCTGATGACTTCTCCTTGAAACTGCAAGTCCAAGTGACTGCTGAACTTCCCGCTGGAATGGATTGTACAGACAAGCAGTGCGCATGTGGATCACAGTGAACAGATACAAGAATCGGTTATCGCCTCAATGAAATACAATTAACTACGTTTGAAAAGGTAGTAAGTTTCTTCGCGCAAGATGGTCATGATTGTTCTTGCGCGTTTACGGATTTTTTACCAATTCTTCTTGCTGAATTTTCGGTGACCTTTGGGCTCTCATCTCTCTGACGTTTTGTGGAGATGCTGGTGCTTTTTATCGACACAGTATCATCTGTATATGTACCTTAACGGCTTAACATGTGTCGACTACATGCGTATAACACTGGATGATAAAACTGAACAATAAAATTATCACACTGGGTGAACACGAATGGTAAATATTGTGCTACATTTTGACGACGGATACAGTTGGGTATTACTGAATCTGGTTGAATTACATGTAAAGCGTTATTTTGTGCGACAGTTTCGCTTGTGTTTCTTAAAAATTACGGTTCGAATGTTTTGCGTTGTTGTACTATCTACAGTCACTTATTTAAAACAAAATCCGATTGTGAATATTGTGCTAATTAAATGTAATAATACTGTGATTGTAAACACAGAACGACGTACGTATGTTTAATGTGCCCATTACTTAATGCACTCCTGTGAGTGTTTTCCCCGTAACCAGCTAAAAAAATTGCAACAAAAACCCATAAAAAACAATTCAGATTAAAATAACAAATCATTCCGGCTATTCCGCCAAATGCAAAAATGCCACTATTCCACAAGTTTTCCCCGACAGAACACAAACTTTCAGTTGCCGGGCGGCGTCGGCATCATCCTCCCGGGCGCCCATACCCCGGGGGCGGTTGGCGCAGGGGCACGCGCCCCAGTGTGCGCAATTACCGACATGCGCTGCTCCAACCCCGTCCAAGCTCCGCCTCCCCCAGCCCCGGCGCCCCCGGGCATCCGCAGCCCGATCTGTGCGATCTCCGTGGCCGACAGGTTCCAGGTAGACTGCACGGCGCCCGCCAGCAGCGGCGGCGGCACGCGGACGCCCAGCGGCTCCCCGCCGCTAAAACCCAAACTGCGCAGGCTGTCGGAGGCGACGGAGGAGCCCCCGCTGAGGGTGCTGATGGAGGGCAGGGCGGGGAGGCTTGGCAGGGGCAGCAGTGGGGCCACGGGGGGGTGGCGGGGTGGGGTTCGGGGGCGGGGTGGCGGCAGGCCAGGGCGTGGGGATCCCGGAGGTAGAGTCCTGGGACTGGGAGGCCGAGGAGCCGCCGGAGGGGCTCTCCGTGCTCAGCGACGGCGTTTCCACCTAACGACGCAAGAAAGAGTTAATAAAACAAAGCTTCTACAAATAAATATTCAATTTTAATAAATCACGATTCAAATTTTCCAAATTTATTAATTAATTATTAAATCGTAAATGTATATAATTCTAAGGTTATCTAGCTAAGTTTTTGCTAGCACATTACGCATTTTATTGACGTATGACGGTTTTATAATATTATTAAATCAAACAGCATTTTAAAAACAAATTACAAATAATATTTCGATGGTAAAAAAGGCACAGTAAATCATTATTCTCTTTAAGGAATTCTGTAAAATAATCAGAGAATTTGTAAAAAAACAGCTGTGTATCGACGCTGTTCTGGCGGTGGTTAATAATTTCCGGAAATACCAAAAGTTTGTAATCCAGCTTTATACGAGTAAAACAATGTCACCACAGCATTGCTAATTAAGGATGTTGGTTTTTTTACTTTATGGCTGTTTTTCGTGGGTGTGTCCGCATGGACGTTGGGTTTGACGCGTTTCGCGGCGGGGCGGGAGGTGGCGGGCTTCTTGCGCTTCTTGGGCGACACCTCCACCACGGGCAGCTCCGCCCGGGCCTTGGCCACCTGCCGCAGGCGTTCAGCCTTGGGAATAATCCGGTAGATAAAATGCACACATTCCTCCTGCAAATACAATTAATTCGTACTTATTCCTTGCAGCAATCCTACATCAACATACAATAACCACAGCGGCGTTTGTGCTCAGTTCGATCGTAGAAAAGGGGCTACTAAATCAGTGTATCTTCGGCACTACATCAGTGTACTTCAGAGAATAGTAACAGTCAGCAAAAATAACTTCGTGTACTTTTTGCAGATAATTACGCCAACGCTAATAAAGTAAGTAGAATGTGCACATAAAAATTAGAATAAAAAAATAAAACACATTACGTAGAATACTCGTAAACAGAAAGCTAAAAGCATAACAAAATCGAACTGGAATAAAAATGAAAAAGGTGCCGACATTCTGAATGCCTACTCACCAGCAGACAGCGATCGGCCATACTCTGCGTGATGCGCAGCCGCGACTTGACGTAGTGCTTCATGCGCAGATAGTCGTCGCAGCCTGTGGCCAGCACCACCTCACTGTCCACCTCCAGTTTACTGCGGAACTCCACAAACTCCTCCAAGGGACAGTTGCGTCCGGCCAGACCGATAACGAACTGCACGGCCGTCTGCAGCTTCAACAGTGGACTGCCATAACGCTGCAACACATACCGACAATTACAACCAAGTACCGACCACAACGTCCATCCAGCATGGACAAGGACGTTATAACATTCTCATTAAAACTCATTTTGCTTTCGAAACAAACATCCCGGAAGCCGACAATTTTCACCACCAGAAATTCTGTAAATATTCTCAGCATCTATTTTTTGAAAAAAATATTTACAGTCATAAAACCGGAAGTCTGTAAACCTATCAGAAATGTTCAGAATATCGGCTGCGAATTAGAAGTTAATGCTGACATGAGTGACATGTGAGCGCCATTCGATCAGTGCAATACAACTCGAAATGGCGCCAATGCAACACGAGCAGAACCGCAGACTTACTCCGTGAATTCCGCGCGGCGTCTTGATGGGGAATCCCAGACAGATGATGGCCGTACACAGCGACTGGCAACCCTCCAGCAGTGTGGCCTGACAGGCCAGCAGCGCGCCCACCCCCATCCCGACTAGGATCAGCGCTTTGTCGCTGTGCAGTCGCGCCATCTACCAACAAGACACAAGATACAACGTCAACTCGGGAAACAGCAGCACGGCGCCGTCGTTGCATGCGATACTGTGGTGCGCACCGGGAAGACGCCTTCTGACAAAATATAATAATAAAAGAAAGAAATCCTTCAATAATAGCAGACAGTTTTAATATCTTCATATAGAAACACAGTCATTATACACATCAAAACAGTATCAAGCAAGTTTTTCGCAAAAAAAAAAACAGTACAGATTTTCAGTTTAACCAGTGTCAGATGCGCCCAAACATACGTATGTCCTTTCAATTTATTTTTACCCCTTATTAAATTGGCACAAGTATATCAATTTACTTTATTTATATTTCTTAAATAAACTGTCACAAGTATGTCATTTTATTTCATTTTTACCAATTATTAAACTGTCATAAGTACATAAGTCATTTTATTTTATTTTTACCACTTATTAAATTGTCATAAGTACAAATGTCATTTAATTTTTCCTGCCAGAACTGCTGCATTAATAACCAATAAATAGAATGTATCTTTCGAATTATACTCATCCGCAAGAAAATGCACGTTTGGCCGCATCAGCGACAACGCCAGGCAGGACCTTGGAATAATGGTATCTTACCTCGAGAATCGTGGTTTTGGTGTTGGTCATCCAGTTCTTGTAGAGATCATTGGGAGTGCAGGTGCGGGGATGGGCGTCCGGCGCCACCTGCACCAGCAGGCCGAACTGGCTGAAGAAGCGCAGGAAGACGCGACTGCGTGCGCAGTCCGCCTCCTTCTCCTCCAGACCGCCTTTGGCTTTCGAGTAGGAATAAGGGTGCGGCGCCATGATGAACACCACCTCCTTGGCAAATTTCACCATCTATACACAGCACACTCCGTCAAAAAATAATAAACCAAATAAACAAAAAATGGTAAACGAAAAAAGTGCTTTAATTATCAATTTTTAACAAATAATCAAAATTTTCAAAGACTTTCAAATAATTTTGCCGCACCCAGTAAAAGAATTCACATCTCCCACACCCGCTGTAGGAAAAATTTAAGAAAGTAAAAAAATTGCACTTAATACAGTACTACTTACAGAAATAAATGGACGAATGAAAATAATTATTTACACAAAAGTTCACTACGACAGAAGTGTTCGAATATACCGTCGCAATATTTTCACAAGCAAATTTGAAAGCAGCACAATATAATTTTCGCATACAACCGCTAAAAAATTCTTAATATTAACTGCTACATTTTTCGGCGCCGACTAACCGGACTAAAGCTGAATATCCGACTGCCCACGGGATCCCAGGGTTCCTCCAGTAACTTCATCAGTTTCTCAGTGCCACCGCCCACATCCGTGCTCATCGGCAGCATGTAGTTGAGCAGACTGTTGACCAGCTCGGCAATCTAACAAATTCTTTGTTACAACCTTACATCTCGTTCAGTCTTTAAGTAATGCAGATTAACCTTGGGGCGGAGCGTCTGGAGGATCTCGAAGTAGATGGCCAGCATGGGCGGCGGGAGATTCTCGATGATGACGGAGTGCAGCCAGTACACCATGCGTCCGTTCCACTGCGTGCCGGCCATCAGGCGCCGGAACCGTCCGGAGCATTTGTCCAGACTCAGCCGGCGCAGAATGGCTTCTTCCGGGTCCTGCTCACACATATTCACGGATCAAAATTGTTGTCCACTGTCTCTTAATCCATAATAACATGCAAATACAGCTAATGATATTTGTCCAAACAAGTATCACCTAATTTATTGATTTTTAAACGTACGTTGATTTAAAACGTTGAATTAAATTTATTGATTTTAATTTATTGATTTTAAGGCCTCGTCCCGAATTCAAAGCGAATCTCGTTGCGATACAGCAACTCCACCTCGCGAGGTGGCTCCGCGTACCGTATCTGTAGGCGTGGCCACTGCATACAGCCACCTCGTGCGGTTGAGCAACCGTACCATAGCGAGATTCGCTTCGAATTCGGGACAAGGCCTAAACGATCAAGCACACGTTCTGCACATCATAAAAGGCAAAACCGCTATGTAGAAAAAAATACAGTTCAAGCTCAAACAACTGGTACAGACTACAGTGAGTACAGACATTGAGCAGAATTCATCTAAATGTAGAAATCACTGGATAAATGAAAAATGAATTAACTAATTAATTCAATAAAAAACAGCAAAACATATTTAATTGGCGTTAACTGATTTTTTGGTCTTTATTTTTCAAAATCAGCTTACCGAAGCGTAGGCCAAACGAACATGTCGCTCCTGATACAGAATCCGTATGCAGGCATCGAAGAACACTTTCTGCCTGGCCGTCCATGAACTTCGCCTGTTAATTACACATTCAACATAATAAATTTCATGCGACAACTTTCTTTCGCTCTGCTGTTACAAATGCCACTCAAATGTTTCGTTAATGTAGCAAATCTACACCCATGCAATATCAACCGCATTAAAAAGCAGCATTCTATCAATTTTCGATGGGTCAGTTTCTCAAGTTGCCAACAAGCTTGCAGACATACCGTATACAAACATAATGCCCTCTACAATCCGTCTCATAAAAAGAAAACAAAAGAAAGTACTCAACTACGATATAAATGCTAAAAATGTTCAACCTAAAACATACAGCTCATACTGTCTTTTCGCCGCACCACTTTTCATGTTGAATATTTCCTGCGTTTATATTAGAATTTATTAGTCTTTATTTTCAAATGGAGTTCTTTACTTTTTGATCGAATTTATTAGTATATATCGCTTGATTTTGTACAGTTTCTAACCAACCTCTGATAGGTCTTGGCCAGGGGATCCTCCATATCCATCATCCTAGCGCCGCCCTTCCCCTTGCCCCCGTGGGCATTTTCCGCGTCGGGCCTACTGCGGGTTAGATGCTGCTCCATCTGCAGCATGGCGCGTTTGGCTTTGCGGTAATCATAAGGACACAGTTTCTCCCGCTCCTCGCCGGCGCCCTCCTTCTCGTCGGCTGCAACGGATTCCGGTAGTGCGCTGTCCGATACGACGTCCACAAACTCTCCTTCGCCCAGCTCGTCACTACACCAGAAAACATACGACACATTCCTTATCTTTGTGGTTTAAAAACACAACGCAGCGATTCGGTACCATATTATGCAGCACGCATCATTCAACCCATGTGACTCAATCGAAATTTACATTTGGCAACGTGCATATAACCCTGCGCGCATATTCATAGCAACAACTTCACAAACCTCGTTTTTTAATTAAATTTACCGAACAAACTCAAATGTACTCTATTCCCATTTATCGTTTTATCAGTTAAATAAATAATAACAGCAGTTAATAATTATATGCATAGCTTCATTGCAACCATTTAAATAAGCAAGTAATCCGTTACAAATAATATCCAGTCAAAACAAAAACAATAATTTATAATTTAATTTTAAATCAAATTTAAATTATTACCGCAAATAAATTTGGATCTACTCTACTGAATATTTAAATATATTCCATTTATCAGTGACATACCGCAGCGGCCGGATAACTACGCCCAAGGATTTAGGTAACCATTGCAACACAAAGCAAACCGTTGTGACCACTGTAGATAAGTAAGGATAATTCGAATTTAAGGATCAAGGATCTAATTAAAAAAACTTAGCCCGAAACAGGCTAAACTATACAGATTAAAATTCCACAAAATTAACATTAAGCGCCAACGCACCTGTTCAACGACGCCATCTCCTCTCCGCGTCCAAACAACACCTTGACCCCGCTGCTCAACCATCCCTTCTTCCCGCTCTCCGCCGCGGCCGACGCCTCGCCAAACCGGTGATCCACGGCCAAATCCACCGTCCACGGACGCCCGCTGAAGCGCTTGACCCGCTCGGTCAGATACGCGCCCCAGACGGACGCCGTAAGGGGCGTGGCGTTGCGCTCCTCCACGGGCTCCGCTTTCTTGCCCTGCCCCTCGGTGTCCAGGGTCCAGATGGAGGAGGACAGGGAGACGTTGTCGGGTTCCAGGGGCTGCGAGGAAGCCGAAGGGGCCACCAGGCTGGACTGGGTGGACAGCGAGGGGATGCCGAGGGTGTCGATCTCCTCCAGCGCGGTGTGGGACACCGTCGGGAGCTCGGTCTCCACTTCCGCCACGTCCATGGCCATGTTGAGATCCAGGGGGAAGTCGGACGGGGGTGGCCCGAGGGGGGAAATGGAGGGCGGCTCAACGACGGGGAGCTCGACGACGGGTGTACTCCGGGTCACTGTTCACGTCGTTGCAATAATTCAGTCACGATGAATTTTCGAAATGCTACTCACTTGTTATTTGAAATGCATTTCTGACATTTTTCTTATGATTTATTTTACCCATTCGTTATTTTTACCCACCCGTTTTAATTTACGGTAGCTTCATTTGATTTACGATACTTATTTAAATTTTATTATTATTATTATTCTGACGCTATATTAATTATTTTGGTACACTTTTAGTTAGCATTAATTCATTTACGGTATTTCATTTCAAACATTTATTTTTGATTAAATTTGCTCTTCGCTAATTTAATGCTCTTTTTTAAAGAAGTACGAGTACCGTATTATGTTTCTCATTTTCGTTAATTTTCTACTCGTTATTTTTTATTTTACTTTATTTTTTTCCTGCGTCATAATTTACAGCGCAATCTACAGAAAAGTCTACGTCTTTCATTGTGCTAGACTAGATCTAACCTTTGATGCGGTAAATTTTGTTGGCTTCCGATCCTGCTACGATGGAAATAACATGTGTCTGCTGCGTCCGTTGTGTGCGACTCGTTGGCCGCACTAGCCCAACACACAGAGCATTGATCAATCAATATTTGGAAAATATCCAATGCAAAAAATATTGAATAAGAAATTAAGGAAAATAAAATAACCAAAAATAAAATGGTCAAAATAAAAAATAAAGGAAAAAAAATCAGAAGATGGTGTGCAATACGAGACAAAAATAAATGATACCACAAATTTTCTCACCAGAACTGCTGATGGCCTGCCGCGTGTGCTCTTCTGGTTCCGGGTTAGCAGGTGATTCTTCCAGTTTAGGGATAATAACTGGAGCAGGCTCTTCCAGTTTTTGGTAGAAATCTGGCTCTTCCGGTTGCAGAGAACCTGCAGGCGGTTGCTCGGCGTGCTTGATAGGTGAGGGAGGTTGCTGTGGTGGTGGTGGCGGCGGAGTATAGACCGATGGCCCCGGATCGCTCTTGATGCTGTTCAGTGAACCGAAGGATGTATCGGTCAAACCTATCAACGAACGAAAAACTACCGGCATTCAATCAAAATAATAACAGCCACTGGGCGCATTGCAATGAAAACTAAGACAACGCCTGGCTTATGCAGTTCAACATGCAAGATGGTTTCCGCTGCACTATTTTTTTAAGATTTTTTAAGTTAACCCGTTTCAGTTTAATATCATTTTTCGAATGAATAAATGCAATTTTAATTTTAAACAGCGAACGTTTTATCGTTTTTCAGCTTCGACAAATCAACAGAAGTACTGTAATTACAATATTTCCGACTGGAAGTTCAGACAATTGGTGAGTAGCGACCATACCTGCAACCGCCATATCAAACTCATGTTGATATGGTCCCAGCGAATTCGAGGAGACGTCTGTAAAACATACACCGATAAACTAGAATCGTCGCTGATTTTCGATTTTCTATTCTAATTCAACTTGTTGGCAATATTAAAAAATTAAAATCAACTGCAAATCGTACTAATATTAGGTTGCTGCACTGACTTGTGAGTGCTGCCATTCTTTTTACGCCATGCAGCCACCATTCTACAGTTTCTCTACCACTGCGCTTAAAAATCACTCCAAACCAGGGAAACACTACAGAACGGAATTCTAAGAGCAAATAATGCCGTGCAGCATTTCATGCGATATTTATCGAAAATTAAATTCAATCCAGTGGAAAATCGCAACAGGAACAGCAAAGTGTGTGCATTATTCAACACGAACCTAACGTTCAAGGTAAATTCAAATAAATCTTCGATAAATTTAGGATAAAAGTGATGCTAAATCAGAAAAAAATTAATTTTTAACAACAATACACGAGTCAAAACACCCGATGTTTGGGTGAATAATTGAAAACAAGGGATACCTGCTGATTGTGAGAAGCTGTCATCCAAGTCCTCCATCTTCACGCGCGTCTCATTACGGACACTCTCCACAATCATCACGGACGACACGATATCCTGCAGCTGCACCATCTCCCCACCCCCGCCCCCACTCACATCCCCCATCGAGGCGTCTTCCAACTCCTCCATCTCGACATCCCGTTGCAGCATCTCCGACAGTTCCCCCTCCGCGGATTCTCGTTTCATCTCCATCTCCCCCTCCGGCACCCCGCCCTCTGGGGACGGCTCCTCCGATACGTAGGGCGGGGACCCCATCTGCGGTTCGGTGGGGGAGGATGGACTGAAGAGATCCGCTTCATCGCGCTGCTCCTCCTGCGGCTCGAAATCCGCTTCGGTGGAACGGAGAACGGCGTCGGCCGAGGTGAGGGGCGCTTGGAGACTGATGCGGGGTTCCTCGGTACGGGAGGCGGTGGTGGTGGTAATCGGGGGTTCGGGGGCAGGCGGGTGTGGGAGAAAGCGAAGGGGAAGACGCTGGCGGCGGTGCAGGCGGGGAGATGCAGGGAGGAAGACAGGCAAGCGATGGCGTCGAGCTCGGCGGGAGCCAGTTGGTCCAGGCGCTGCTGTGCTTCCAGGGGGGTTAGGGGCGTGCGGGGAGGGTGGGGCGGGGGTGAAGGGACTGGGGAATGATCGGACATGGTAAGTGATAAGGATTAATGACTTTGGAGTGAGTAATCAGGGATCAAGATGGATGATTCCGTTGAGCTACGATTTTCATGTGCAGTATGCTGTCAGTATGAGATCGGATGGTAGTCTTCGCCACTCGCGCAGACTACACGCAGTTTCTCATCGACACGAGCTGCTTCGAATCAGGAACCTCAAAAAGGACATTCAAGTTCAATCACAAAGGATTCGAAGGAAGAGATCTTTCTACTGAACAAGTTTACAAGTACGAGTACACAGAAAAAAACTAGAAAGAAAATACGAGCCAAAACTCAGCGAGAAAGCGAGATCGGCTTGCTTTCGTTCGTTTTAACGCAAGATACAGCGCGAGGCGGTTGCAAATGCAGCTTTGGTGCTGTAGTGACGCATTGCTGCACTGCTTTTTGATGTCTTCCATCGTTTTATTTTGGTTCCAGGGTTCCTGATCGCCTTTTAAAATTTAAACCGTTTCGAAATTTTATTAGATTCTTATTTAAACTCTGTACGAAACCCACATTCCTGGTACGCGTTTAGCGTCAATATTTTGCTTAAGGGTTGAGACACTGTTGTAAGTGTTGTTGTTTACAACTTGCATTTGCTTCGACTTGTCACTATGGCGTCCTCAACTCGTCCTGGTGAGGAGAACCCGCTGCGGGACTCGTCAGCTGCATGAAGCAGAGATTATTAGTCAATGGAGAATTCAGCGATGTGCGCTTCGCCGTTGGTCGTGATTTTGGCCCAGTGAAAATCTTTGCAGCTCACAAGTAATACTTTTCTCACTGTCATCTGATTTTCTTTGAAACTGCTGGAGCGAGCCCAGTACGCACCATCCATTCCCTTCTCAGCGGCGGGCATGTTATTTTACTTGTAGGAACATTTTGGCAGCGCGCAGTTCCGTGTTCTGCACCATGTTTTACGGGAGTTTACCGGAGAATTGCGCCGTTCCCATCGATATTCCGGATTTCATGCCTGACGCGTTCGCTAATATGCTCTGGTACGTTATGCCTTATGCGATTCGAAAACTTTACAGACGACACTCATACTCGTATGTCTAAAAAATACTACAATTATTTCAAAAATAAATATTTATTTTTATGGTTTTTTGTCTTTAATTTCCTTCTTGTTATTTCCATTTTAAATAAACGTATTCAAAACGTCGTGTTATTTTCGGGCGTTGGTCGTTGCTATTTTGATTTAATTCATTTAGATTTAGCCATTTGCACGTTATTTGATTCAGTTGCGATATTTGAATTTTGATAATCGTCGTCGTTTTTTCAGTTTTCTTATGTTATATTTATTTAGCTTCTGATTTCAACGCGTTTTTCACTCCGAATAAATGATGAATGTCTACTGAATTGTTAGTTGGTCGAAAATGAACTCAAATTGAAATCGTTGTTTGACTTTAACTAACATTGCAAGTACTGTATTTTCTCTTCGTTTTGGCAGTTTCATGTACACGGATGAAGTGGAGAATCTGACCGCGGAGAACGCTTTTGACACCATGAAATGCGCGGATAAATACGACGTGGCGCCGCTGGTGCAGATGTGTTTGGAGAAGAATTTCGGCCAGCTGGACGTTGACAACTGCTTGTCCGCGTTGGAAAAGGTGCGTCCTCTTGTAGACTGTTCTGCTCGTTGGCTTGACAAACGTACAGAAGCGGAATTCCTGAATTGAAATTTAAACTTAAAGCAGCAGTGATAACACGATTCTTACAGTAACTTCCAATTTGATGCACTATACCCGTATACATACTTCATTTACAGAATATCTACTGTTCTTTTCATTTTTTGGCTCCTTAAAAAATTCCTACTTTTAAGCGTTTAACTTCGGTGCTGCTGATTACAGTATCTTTGGAACTGTTATTATTCTAAAATTATTATTGATATTTTATTGTTTCGGGATTTATTTTATAGACGTAATCTTTGGTGTATTAAATAATAAAAGAAATTAAACGTGCTTGTTGTTTCATAGTAAATTTGTTTCAGCAGTCGGCGCAGTTGGTATTTTGCAGGCATTCCAATGGCATGCTGATAGTTTTCTGCAGAAGTGCTGGAAATTGCTGGATGAGAAGACGGAAGAGATTCTGCGATCGGACGAGTTCACGGGCATCCCTCGGGACACACTGCGCAGCATACTGCAGCGCAGCACTCTTTCGGCTGAGGAGCATGACATTTATTTGGCTGTGGAGAGGTATTTTTTTGTTACTGTCCGGTATACAACATAATCTCATAATAATAACTGTAGAGTAATTAGGGCAGTATATTTTGACGGCTTGCGAAAAATGCAGACTGAAAATAGTGCTAAACGATTTCAAAATGCAGTCAGTATTCGAACCGCCAGTTTTTGTGGTTCAAGTAGCCGCGGCGCGCGGGAAAAACACTAGTGATGCATAAGAGTGAACACCGTAGTTGTGAAAACGTTCGTATTTTCAAAGTAAGTACTAATATCGAAGTGAAAGTATTAGGTAATACGAGAGATACCACTAGCTCTAAACGGGCTTGCCCATTGCGCATGAAGGTTCTTAATGGTGGCGTTGTAGATGGGCCACCGAGGCTTGCAAACAGAATGACCTGGAGCCGTCCGCTGTCAACCGGCGTCAGATGCTGGGAGACGCATTGTTCCTGGTGCGATTTCCTCTGCTGACCGCCGCGCAACTTGCGAATGGCCCCGGAACGGTGATAAAATAATTCAGCAGTGATTAAATAATTTAATTTACTGATCATTGAATCTTTTCTTATTTAATTAATAATTTTGAATTGAATTTGGTTTTGATTATTTATCATTTTACATTAATAAATCGATTTAATCTTAATATCCTTTATTGTGATAGAATGGTCTGCTGACGGACAGTGAGCTGCTGAGCATCTTCCTGTACCAACATTCCGCCACGAAGCCACCGCTTCCCTTCCCCACGGAGCAGCGACGCAGTGTGCTGCTGGCCAAGGGATACCGTATGGACGACGCGGTGTTCGTGCGGGTAGTGGGTGCCGACTGGCTGCTGGCCAAAATTATCGGCGTACGCCAGTCGCTGCTGGTGATTCGGTGGGCCGGGGACGGTCGCGAAGAAAGTGTGGAGCCGGGGGATGTCGTGCTGGCTGCAGACATGCGGATCGACGATGGTTCCATGGCTGGAGTTGTTTACTCCCCTGGCAGCGACGTATTGCTGGATTGCACTAATCCCTGATGGGCTAAGCGTGTCTGGGAGGAAACAGGGTTTTGCATTTTATGCGCGTACGTTGTGAAATTTATTTTTTTACTGATTACAGTATTTTGGTTTGAGCACTTGGTGATGTTCCCTCCAGTGCCTGTTTGCCGTGATCTCGGCTGTTCTCCAGTGTTTTAGATCTGTTTGATACACTGTGTTTGTTCTGCGCAGGACCTAAAATCTTATGCTCGCATGCATATAAAATTTATTAAATACTTATAGACGACTAATAATACGAGTATCGCAAAATGTGCTCAGGTAAAGGGGCATGTGCACCCTGCTCACATAGATCGGAAATTGTGCTTAAAAACTGTCAGTCATCCCCTCGTCTATGTAAATATTCTGCTTCTAAATTAGTATTATCTTCGGTTTCAAGACAACTTCTACAAATGTGTCTGAAAATGCTGGACATACGCCGTCGCGTACCGTGTTGTATCCTTTATAGACTGGGAGATTTTCCAGTTATTACGTATTAATTTTTAGCGCAACCGCACTTCTCGGGCCGCTGATGCGCATGCGCCGCTATCGTGCTCTTCTTCTGCGTATCTGTACATGATTACATCTATATGTACTTGTTAAATGTTATGCTGTTATTTACGATGTTTGTTAATTGTTATGCTGTTATTTATGCTGTTTCGTTAGTTAATAAAACGTATCATGTGGTAAAAAGTCACATTAAATGTGATAAGGTACACAAGTACGAGTTATCACACGTAACGAGTTATCGTACTATGTTTCTTTTGCATGCAGTTGAACACAAGTTTTTTGTTTGATTCCATAAGAAAAAAGGGCAAAACCAAAAACTGCAGGAGATGCAGATGATGGATCTATCGTGAAACTGAATGGTGTAAACTGTAAAGGCACTTTGATCCTGGGTTAAGGAAGTGTGCAATACACACAAATAAACGGAAATGTTCTTGAGGGCAACTGTATTGGAACTACAGCAGTACTAGGCAGTGTACCGGTGGTAATTACTGTACTCTATAAATGTTTAATAAAATGCAGATTTTGCAGAAACAACAGAAGTAGAAGTGTTTCTGCATGCAGGACATACAGTAGTTTGTACTTTGTACATTGTAAACAGTTTAATTACTTCTTCATCGAATTCTAAAAGCAGTAGTAGTGTCGTCGGGTTATATGGCCGTGAGAATTACGAAAAAATGAATTAGAAAAAATTAAACTTGCATGGTTTGTGATTTTAACAACGATATGACAGGAAAGCGTTTCTGTATTGAAGGCAACCGAATGGCATGCTGATAATATTCTGGAAAAGTGCTGGCATTTACTGGATGAGGAGACGGAAAAGATTCTGCAATCGGAACACTTCAAACGCATCCCACTGCGCACCCTACTGCAACGCGATACGATGTCAGCTGGGAGCAGGATATTTACCAAGGTGTTTGGCTGTCGAGCGGTAAATTTTCTGTAGGCTGTAGTGATCGTTTTCCAGCTAGAGTTGCATTGTCTTTGGTATGATTGCACTTTGCGCATGATTACGCTACTGTTGCAGATGGGTCGCGGAAGCCTGTAAGGGGAATAACATGGAACCGTCCGCTGCCAACCGGCGTCAGATGCTGGTCGACGCGCTCTTCCTGGTGCGCTTCCCCCTGCTAACGGCCGAGCAACTGGCGGATGGGCCCACGACGGTGAGGATAATGACCTTTTTAAAATGTCGTCAAACGAGGAGGTTATACTATTTTCTTGTGTTAGAGCGGTCTGCTGACGGCTGCCGAGAGCTGCTGAATATCTTCGTGTACCACAATGCCGCTGTGAAGCCGGAGTTACCCTTCCCTACGGAGCAGCGCAACACCGTACCGATGGCCATGGGATTGAATCGAAATGAAGCAGTGTTTGCGAGATGGGGCTCGCGTGGCATCTGGGAGCTAGCCAAAATTATTGAGAGGCGGCAGTCTGTGGTGGATATTCGGTGGGCCCGGGATGGTCGCAAGGACAGTGTGTGTGTTAAGCGTGTCGTTCTGGTTTCCGACATCCAGCTCACCAACCAGTCAATAACGAATGCTGCGAATTTCTCCACTTACTACCCTGGCGCTGTTCTGAGGGTTTGATTTGTTGTGACGTGGATAGCCGGTTTGTCAAAGCGATTATGGGCAAAGATTGGTACGTAGGAAACCAATTTGTTTTCAGTATCCAAAGTCGTGAAAATGCGTTTTGTATGGAGATATGTGTACGGAATGGTGGATTATTTTCTTCGGTTGATGGTTGACGTCGGTCGAGTGCCTTTTGCATGGATCTTGTTATGCGTTTGCATAGATGATTTATGCCGCGTCCTTGTAAACAGTAAGAGGCTGTAAGTTTATCAGTTCTCATTTCTAATTATGAATAATATATACGCAGAATTACGTCAGTATGGGTTCGAGTACAAACCTAGCGCGCCATTGCTAATCGCCGTCAACAAGTTAGCCGGATTGTGTTTTATATTAAGAACATGAAGAGTTAATATACCACTCTCTGGCAATATATATTTCTTATCTGATACGGCAGAATCTCTGATAAAGCTTCGTCAAACAGCAGACTGAAGCCCAAGATACTGCAAAATGCAAATACAGATACACCTGTTTTTGCGGTTATAATTAATTAATCTTGTTTTGTTAGCAAAACTTGCAGTGTGACTGGCTTGTGCTAATAAACACAACCTGCTCAACTACTCATACTTTTAATTTTGTTGAAAAGTCGTAAGCAGCACGGAAAACGATAGATTTTTCTACACATGGAGACAGTACTACTGAAATTATCACAAATTAACCGGAAACGTGGAGAATAACACCGTCCAGATTCACAAATACAAACAGAGCGCGCCGCTCTGACCTGACCGCCCGCGCCGCGCTGACCGTTGCCGAATTAACAAGGCACAGAAAACGCTGTTAAGGACCATAAATACACAGTTTTCTATACTTATATTTATCCAAAATATAAGTAGAAAAAAGAAATCACTTCCACTCAAAACGTTCAAAACCCAGAAAAAGTTGAACTGAAAAGCGAAAACTGAAAAGCGAGGCTTGTTTCCGGTGCATGATTTACGGTTTTCATGTTGCTGCAGCCCAAGGCGCACGCAACTGCCACTTTTTTGTTGGGTTCTCCGCTGTGATGATTGATCTGACTCCGACTGCGAACATACAGTACTGTATTGAGTGTATTCAGTATTTGTAAATTTTTTCCAGTTTTTATGTTTTAACTTCCTTGTGATCGTATTTTGTAATTTTACCATTTCATTAGATTCTGCTTATAAATTTCCTGTTTGATTTTGATCTTGCATCGTTCTGCCTTGACCGGAAATTTGGATTCATCAGAGTCGATCCGACAGCTAGCTGAGCCTAACTCGTAATTTCTCGTCAGAATGGCAACCAAGAAAGTTACTCGTGCAAAACGTCCTCGACGCGAAGAACCTGCTGCGGGAGTTATCAGCTGTATGAAGCAGGCTTTAGCAAGTGGAGAGTTTAGTGATGTGCGCTTCGCGGTTGGTCGTGATTTTGGTCCAGTGGAAATCCTCGAAGCTCACAAGTAATGACTCTCTCGACTCTCGAAATGATCCGAGTTTCTGCGAACTGGGATCGCGAGTGAGCATCATCGCCGAGTGGTTACCACGTTGGGCATAATTTTGTAGGACTATTTTGGCCATGCGCAGTTCCGTGTTTCGCGCCATGTTCTATGGGAGTTTGCCCGAGAATTGCGTCGCTCCCATCGACATTCCGGATTTCATGCCTGACGAGAGCAGATATACTAACATATGCTTTTCTCTACTTTCTCGTAGAAGACTATGTTAACTGCGGAGAGTCATATCATTACTCTGCAATCAAAATAAATAACTCCATGCATACTGTCTAAAAGTATATATTATTATGTATTTTTCAAGCCTATGGATACAATTTTTGCTTAAGAAAAAACAAAGTTAAAGATTTTTGAATATTTAAAATTTGCACGTAATTTGGCAGCAGTCACATTGAGTAAAGCATTGTCAGTACTGCCTGTCGCCTGCTCACCGCCTCGGTATGTTATCCCGGTGCTGCGGCTCAGACAAATTTAAGTTAAAAATTGCCACAAACGATACTTCTGCACTGTTAGTGTACCTAGTGCGATTTGCTCCAAAGCAAAATGCAACCGGAAGTCGAAAATGATCGTGCTACCGAAAATTGAAATTGACGTCACGCCAAGGAAGCTGTGATTGGTCAGAGTTTTAGCTCGGCTCGGAAATTTGCCAGGCTAAGCATTTTGGCTGAACCTGTCATCTTCTGAAAATTCCAAAAACTGAATTTTTGGAATTTTCATTTTCCCGTCTTCGGGAGATGCCGAGAGTGTCTGAAATTCCAAATCTACTGTGTCGTCGTGCCGTACTCCCGTTGTCTAGCAGTTACGAATAACAATCTTTGAATTTATGTTTCTCCATGCATATTGCTACTGCCTTTTTTCAGTCGCACAGCACCTTTACCATGTCAAACTGCTTAACTTAAAAATATTGAAAATTCCAGTAAAAAAATGGGCGTAAATCCAATTAATGGTGCATTTTGAATTTTGCCACAAGCAGCACTTTGTCATCGCACGCGGTCTAGTATATCTGCTCTCGCCTGACGCGTTCGCTAACCTGCTGAGGTGAAGTTCCGCCATTGTGCAGCAGCTGCATGAATTCTGTGCTGCTGAAAACGAAAAATTAGCGTAATGATGAACTGGTAATTTTATTGCTGAAAATTAGAAATGTATATCGCATATTGATGTAATATTAGGAAAATGTCTAGCAATTAAATTATTAAAATCAAGTAAATACAACGAAGTTAATTGTTACTAAATTATTGTGCAGTTAAGTTTACTGTTTATACAGTAAGTTAAATTTTAAAGGAATAAATTTACACAGTACTTCATGAAGCGATTAGCTCAAAATTATTAAAATAATTGTGTATTCTGAGTTCTGACAGATTCTTATTTCTTTGTTTTCGACCGTCATAGCTACATGTACACGGATCAAGTGGTGAATCTGAACGCTGACAATGGTTTCCACACTATGAACTGCGCGGACAAATACGACGTGGCTCCGCTGGTGCAGATCTGTTTGGAGAAAATTGTCAGCCAGCTGGATGTTGATAGTTGTTTATTCGTTATGGAACAGGTGGGTGCAAACTGCAAAGCAATTTATCTTGAACCTACCTTGCCAATGTACAATGCTCGTATACTCTACTTCAGGTGAATAAAACTGATGTCTTCCGCTTCGTATTTATAACTGTACGAGTCGAATTTACGCACTATTTCAGCGAGTTAAATAATCAGATAATTAGATAGTTGGATCTTAGTAGTCTCCTCTGGTTGTAGCCGTGAGGATTTTGACTAAACGAGAATAATAAATTAAAGATTTTTTCTTAGTTTTCTATTTTTTTCAACTGACTGAGGAATGAGGATGTGACAGAAGTGTATTCTATTGCAGGCAGTCGAGTGGCATGCTGATAACATTCTGGAAAAGTGCTGCCATTTGCTGGATGCGAAGACGGACGACATTCTGCGATCGGAGCACTTCCCTGGGATCCGTAAGGACACACTGCGCACACTACTGCAGCGCAGCACACTGTCAGCTGGGGAGCAGGATATTTATCTGGCTGTCGAGAGGTATTTTTTGTTAGGGATGAATGTCGAAAGATTTTGGGCCGTTTTTGAATTATTTTACTAGTTAAACAATAAATTATTTAGGTTTATTTGTTAAAAAAATGTTCCTGTTCCAGGCAAAGATATACCTTTAAATATTTTGGTTAATTGCAACAATCATTTTATGGTAATATTTTATTGAATCGGCACTGAATTTGATCAGTTTCTTAATTTAACATGATTTTACTTGTTTCGAGTTCTTAAAGCGCCGTTTGATTATGAAGCTTGGAATATGAAACAGGTGAAAGTGTGATCTGAACCCTATAATTTTTGTGGATTTTTTGTAGATTACTGAATGTTTTCCAGTATTGCTTTAAAAATCTGCTGTGATTGCACTTTGCGCATGATTGCCTTTGCAGATGGGCCACGGAAGGCTGCAAACGGAATAACAAGGAACCGTCCGCTGCCAACCGGCGTCAGATGCTGGGCGACACCCTCTTCCTGGTGCGATTTCCCCTGCTGACGGCCGCGCAGCTGGCGGATGGACCCGCGACGGTGAGGATGTTAATTTTTTTTGATAATGTTGTCGAACGAGAAGGTATTCTATTTTTTCGTGGCAGAACGGTCTGCTGACGGATTCCGAGCTGCGGAGCATCTTCATGTACCAGAATGCCGCAGTGAAGCCGGCGGTGCCCTTCCCCACGGAGGAGCGGTGCAGTTTGTCCATGTCCATGGGATTTGATCGCAATGCAGCGGTGTTTGCGCGGGGCTCGCATGGCATCTGGGAGTTAGCCAAAGTTATTGAGAGACGGCAGTCTGGGGTGGCCATTCGGTGGGACCGGGATGGTCGCGATGACTGTGTGAAGCCTGACCGTGTCGTTCTGGCTTCCGACATCCAAATTACCCACCAAGCAATAACGAATGCTGGGGGTTTGTTGATTTATTACCCTGGCCTTGCACTGCGGGTTTGATTATTTCCCTTGATTTTTCTCTGCCGTTGATAGTCCGTTTATAAAGGTGAAAATGGCCAAAGACTGGAAAGAAGCCCTTTTTTTAGTATCGCAAGTCGTACAATAGATTTTGTATTAGGAGATATTTGTACGGGATGGTTGTTTTCTTCAGTTGATGGTCGTTTGAGTGCCATTTGCATGGATCTCGGCTTGTGCTCTAGCGGTTTTGATCTGATTATACAGCGTCTTTGTAAAGCGTCCGTCGTCTTTTTGATTACTTTTATCAGTTCGCCTTCCGTTTATCAGTTCTGGCAACCAGTAGTCCAGGATGTGTACAAACCTAGCGCACCATCGCTTCTCGCCGCTCAACAAGTCAGCCATATTGTTTTTTATATGGAAAAAATATCAAGCGTGAAATAAATCATTCTGTCACAGTGTCACCACCCTGACCCGGTCAGAATAGACCGCAAATGTAGCCAAAGCAAATATGTATGTATTTATGTTCTGTACGGGTGTGAGTATGCGATCGAATCGATGATAAAGCAGGTTAATGCGCAAGATACTGCAAATAAAACACGCTCAACTACTATTACCTTTGTTAAAACTTGTCTAAAGCAGCACAAAAATTGGAGCTACACGTGGAGACACTATTATCGCGAATCAACCGGAAACGTGGAGAAAAGCACCGTCCAACTTCGCCAACAAAGCGCGCTGCGGTGACCGCCGCCGAATTAACAATGCACAGAAAGCGCTCTTAAAAACCATGAATAAAATTTCCACATTTATAAATTATTAATATATTCATACATAGAAACAAACGGTGAAGACAGAGAAAACAAAGAATACCCCGCTGCAAGTTGCGACAAACAACCTGACTGCCGCCTACCGGAAACAGCATGTCACCTAACCGCTCCCCGCCTGCGCTCCACATGCTGCACCGTCAGTCACTCTGCACTGTTCTGCAGCATCAGCCTGCAGCATCGCGCTAGTGCAGAACTGCAGAAGTGCAGATCCATGATTTTTGGATTTTTTTGGTTCTTTAAGTTTAGTCTTTACAGACTTTACTGTTTACTGTATTTTATTCTTCCATACTATCTGCTCTGCCTCTGCAGTTTTGAAAGCGGCGTCCGATTTATCAATTTTTTTATTTGGAATCTGGAATCAGAGACCCAGTCGGGGTACGTATTGTACTAAACTGTATTGACTTGGTCGAAAATTCAGAATCCTCTCAATCCTTTGTCTCCGATCACGTAGCGAACGTATGGCAAAGACTTTACCATACATTCGCTCCATGACCGGAACTTTGCCGCCTTTTCCATAACTTTCCATCGGATCGGAATTCTTCCATAATAAGACAAATGTTGTTGTCTTATTAGCATCAGAATGGCGTCCCCAAAGCGTCCTCGACGCGAAGAACCCCCTGTGGGACTCGTGAACTGCATGAAGCAGAAATTAACCAGTGGAAAATTCAGTGATGTGCGATTCGCCGTTGGTCGTCATTATAGCCCAGTGAAAATCTTCGAAGCTCACAAGTAATTCTTCTTTCACTTTATCGCGGAGATCAGATTTTATGGGAAAACTTGGAGAACTAACTACTGTACTACGAGTTAAGACTCACTCAGTTTCCTTCACTCTACTACGGATATAATTTTGCAGGATTGTTTTGGCGATACGCAGTTCCGTGTTCAGCGCCATGTTTTACGGGAGCCTGCCGGAGAATTGCGCTGTTCCCATTGATATTCCGGATTGCATTCCTGACGCGTTTGCCAACGTTCTGAGGTACAAGTACGCCAAGTCTACAAGTACATGTTTTGCGGAAATACACATATTTTGTGCACAGTGCACTCGAAATAATGTACTCATTTTACTCCCCATGGTTATTAACTAGAGTTGTTGGGTGAAAGTTCAAAACTAAAAAATATAAATTATGAGGAATAGAAGTATTGATAGTAATTACTTGTAGGTGAGTACTGAGTAAGTACTAAGTACTGGATGACGGTGGTGTTTGACATGTTCTGTTATCTTTCGACTGACAGCTACATGTACACGGATGGAGTGGAGAATCTGAACGCTGACAATGTTTTCGAGATCATGAACTGCGCGGATAAATACGACTTGGCTTCTTTGGTGCGAATCTGTCTGGAGAAGATTCTCAGTGAGCTGGACGTGGAGAATTGCTTGACCGTTTTGGAACAAGTAAATCGATAAGCTTTTCATATGCTTAATATAAAACATCTATATAAGCTCATACGTTAAAAGTTCGTCATTTAAAATTTTTCATAATCTATATGATGTGAATAAATTTTGAACGATTTGTGCTGTGGCAGATAAGAATCTGGAGTGTAATCGTATAAACAGTCAGTTAAATTTCTGTTTGAAATTCATTTTGAAGTTTTAACTGCACTACCTGATGGCGGAGGAATAATAGCGAGCCAGTCTGTATTGCAGTTAGCCCAGTGGCAAGTGAATGCTGATACTATCCGGGAGGCGTGCTTGCATTTGCTGGATGAGAAGACGGAAGAGGTTCTGCGATCGGAACACTTCATTAGCATCCGCCAGGACACATTGCGCACCATACTGCAACGCAGCACGCTGTCGGCTAAAAAGATTGTTATTTTCTTGGCTGTGGAGAGGTACTGTATTTTATATGATTTGTAAACTGATAGTTTTTTGCCTTGTCAAATCTGGCTGCTGTTTTTGCACTTTTTGAGCATGTATAACATTGCAGCTGGTCCGCCGAAGCCTGTAAGCGAAATAACATGGTGCCATCCGCTGTCAACCGTCGTCAGATGCTAGGTGACGCATTCCCACTTGCACTAGGCCGCTTTCCCAAGCTAGCTAAACTACCGGACGGTCCCGGGCCGGTGAGAAGTTTTGCTGAAGGGTAGTACAGTACTGCTGGTCAGTAAAGCTTACGACTTTTTTGTTGTGACAGATCCGTGTGGGGGATGGTTTAATGACGATATGGGACTTCATAACTGTGTCATCCTGGCCGCTACGCAATCGCCGTGTATGCGAATACCGGATCACTGCTGAGGTTGCTAATGGCCAACAGTTGACGATATGGCCTCGATAGGTCGTGGTCCATTCTGATTTGTCCGGACATTTGTACTGGTTGCGTAGAAGAATGTGGTCAGAAAACAGAATGTAACTTTTTTTGTTTTCCATCAACGCGATATATGGAAATAGCTTTTGTTAGAGATAATTCTCCTTTTGTGGCAGACGGAATGGTTCCGTATTTCTTCAGTTGGTGATTACCCCGCCCGTGCCTTTTGATCCCAGCCAGTCCTGATCGCAGCTTTTTTTTATGTTTTTCATTTTTAGCGGTATATATCAGTTCAGCGAGAGATGATAAATTTAACATTTGGCTGCTAGTAAATGTTACTGATTTAAATTCTGAATGTTTACGCATTGATAGCCTTGTTTACGTGGAATTATGTGACTTATGCCAAAATGTGTACATGTACGTATGACCAAAACTATGTGGCACAAGATTTATAGCTATCAGCACCTCAGTCGGATTTTTTGTTTTCAAAATTACCACCAGTAGCTTACCGACTTGTTGGACCAAGTTACCAACTACTGCGCTTACAACCAGAAACTGTAATAAAGAAGGATCTACAACTACAAGCCAGATTCATAACGAACAGGTCCCTCTTTATTTGAAAACGACTGCAGAATACAAATGAATAAATATTAACCAAACAATGAAAACGTTTACTAATCACAACAGAAAAAGCTCAATTAACTTTTCCACTCAATTCCATTGTTCCTAAAACGGAAGCCGCGTTTTCCCGCTGAATCTCCAAAGCTAGCCGCTGCCGGAGAAATTCATGGGAGCGAGCCTCTCCGAGTTGATCACGTAGTCGTTTCCCGATTTCTTTGATAATAGCGGTAGGCCGGTAGCTGACGGTCCCCATGGTGGCATGGTCCCATTGTTTCGAAGGCAATGGGTCCGAAAATGCGAAAATTCATAATTAGTTGCATAAAGATGCCTACAGGTGAATTTCATGAATAATATGGTGAATATACAGGTGAATAAAAAGGTGAATTTTGTACAGGGGGTAAATTACGGGAAATGGAATATTTTCTTCAGTTGGGGATACCTCCTCGAGCGCCTTCTGCTTAGATATCAGTTCGGTCTGTACGGTTTTAGATGTGTTTATGCGGCGTACCTGTACTTCGACGTAGCGAATCTAGCGATCAAGGTAAATTTTGTATTATAAAGTATTATTACACTACGAACACAAAAACTACACGTTGAGACATTCAACCGGAAACGTGGAAATCACAATCAACCGGAAACGTGGAAATAAACGCCGTCGAATTTGACCAACAAAATGTTGCGCGCGCGCACTCACCGTTACCGAAATAATAATTACCAGAGCATAAAAACCATGTAAAAACCTTAAATTTATTTTTCAGATACAGAAAAACAAACGGTAAGACAGAGAAAACAAGGAATCCCCGCTGCAACAAACAACCTGGCTAGTGGGCCTAGTGGCTACCGGAAATTTCATGTCACGTAACTACTCCCCGCCGGCGCTCCACATGCTGCACCGTCAGTCTGGCAGCTGCACTGCTGACTTGTGAGTGTTGCAGCATCAGCCTGCACTTGTAGTGTATCGCGTGAGCGGTGAGTTACACTGTTTTTCGATTTTTTTGGTTGTTTGTTTTATTCTTCCATACTATCTATCTGCCTCTGCAGTTTTGGAAGCAGCATCATTTTAGATTTATCATTTATTTTATTTAGAATCTTGAGTCGGATACCCAGTCGGGGTACGTACTGACATAATCGCAATTCAGAATCCTCAGTCTCCGAACTTATGGTTAGCCGTTAGCAAAATTGAAAGTGCTGTTCTCTTGTTAGCATCAGAATGGCGTCACCGAAGCGTTCTCGACGCGAAGAATCCGCTGTAGGACTCGTCAACTGCATGAAGCAGACATTAACTAGTGGAAAATTCAGTGATGTGCGATTCGCCGTTGGTCGTCATTATGGCCCAGTGAAAATCTTTGAAGCTCACAACTCACAAGTAATGGTTCTCTCAGTTTATCACGGTGATCAAATTTTATGAAAGCACCTGCGACGGCATTAGCGTCTTTCACTTCTCTACGGACATGATTTTGTAGGACTATCTTGGCAATGCGCAGTTCCGTGTTCAGCGCCATGTTTTACGGGGAGCCTACCGGAGAATTGCACTGTTCCCATTGATATTCCGGATTGCATTCCTGACGCGTTTGCCAACGTTCTGAGGTGCTTGTGCAAGTCACCAAGTGCGCCTGTTTTGCAGAAATACAGATGTTTTGTGCGAGAGAAAAGTTCCCCTTTAAGTCCTTTTATTTCCCGTGGTTGTCAACTTGTTTTGGTGTCCCGAAGTTCCGAAATTCAGATATTCAAAAATAAATAAATATTGAAATTATTCGTTAGATATATAAGTATTTGGTGACGCGGGAGTTGTGACAAAATATTCTGTTCTCTTCCGACTGACAGCTACATGTACACGGATGAAGTGTATGATCTGAACGCAGACAATGTTTTCGACACCATGCACTGCGCGGATAAATACGACCTGGCTTGTTTAGTGCGAATTTGTGTGGAGAAGATTGTCAGCGTGCTGGACGTGGAGAATTGCTTGGCCGTTTTGGAACAGGTAAACCGTAAAGGTTTTTTGGTAAACCGTAAATTAAAAGACTTTAAATAGCTTCATACAAAATATTGGCTCTTGCTTTAAAAGTTCATCATTTAAACCTCTTCATTCATAATCTACTCTATATGATGAAAAAACATTTTGAGTGATTTGTGCTGTGGAGCACCTGGAGAATCTGGCGTATCCTCGTACAGATTCAGTTAAATTTTTGTTTTAAGTTCACTTTGAAGTTTCAAGTGCAGTATCTGATGGCGACGGAATAATAGCCAGCGAGTCTGTATTGCAGGTAGCCCAGTGGCAAGGGACTACTGATCCTGTCCGGGAGGCGTGCTTGCATGTGCTGGACGAGAAGACGGAAGAGGTTCTGCGATCGGAACACTTCATTAGCATCAGTCAGGACACTTTGCGCACCATACTGCAACGCGACACGCTGTCGGCTGGAGAGAATGATATTTATTTGGCTGCCGAGCGGTATGTTGTCTGTGCATTAGTAGTACTCCTTGATACAAAAATTATGGTAGAGTACTATTCCGGACACTTTTCATGCAATGGGTTCGGTTACCGGACAGCAGAGACCCAGTATCCTCTGCGTTGTTCCACTCAACTTCCACTCAACTTCCACATTAGAAAACGATATTTTTCTATTGATGTCGTATATGTGTGGTTTTGTACTTATTCGAATAACGCTATAAATTTGGAACAGTACTAAGCATGATACAGTCTGAGCCAGTTTGTTTGGGCTTAGCATTATTCAGGATTGTTTTTATGTACGATCTGTATACACTTGTGCAAAAACCGTAATTATCATAGTAAGTAATCATTTTCTTAAAAGTTTTGGTTTGTGGGACATCGAAGAGAATACCGTGGCTGTGGTATTCGGTGCGCCAATCCATGTTCTGAAAACTGGAATACAAGAAGCGTCGAACTAACCGTAAAGCTGTATTGTCTGACAATACTCAGCTTTGGCGTCCAAAATTATCTGTTGCCAGTTTCTCAATCGTAGCCCGTTGCAGATGGGCGGTGGAAGCTTGTAAGCGGAATAACATGGAGCCGTCCGCTGCCAACCGACGTCAGATGCTGGGCGATGCGCTCTTCCTGGTGCGCTTTCCCCTGCTGACGGCCGCGCAACTGGCGGATGCGCCCGCGGCGGTGAGCATGCTAGTACCATTTGATCTGGTCGTCAAACGCGGTGGTTATATACTCTTCTTTGGTGACAGAGCGGTCTACTGACGGAAGCCGAATCTTCATGTTCCGGAGTGCCGCTGTGATGCCGTTGCTACCGTTTCCCACGGAGCTTCGACGCGGTGCGGTGTTGCCCAGCGGAGTACTGCCGGACGTGTATCAGCTGCGTTTGCCGGACATCTTTCGGGATTGTGGCTGTGTGCATGTTGAATTTCAGTCCGGACGCTCGTAACTGGGCTGGAAAATTTATGTGATCCGACGGAACAAAATCAGTGGATTTTTCTCTCATTTGCGCATACCTGTGGACAGATTTTTAATCGGTTTCTTTAGCTCGTGATGTTTTTTTCTTGACGTTTTGCATTAGATCTCTGGTTGTTCTCTAACGTTTTTGATCAGTTTTTGCGGCTTCAGAATACTCTGTTCAAATTATGTGGTTGAAGATGTTAATTTATCAGTTATGTAATTTTTTGTTATTAAAATTAATAAATTAATACGCTTCGGATAGTACCTTTGTACTGTATGTCAGTAAGTGCATTGTACAATTAACTTTGTACTGTGTAATATGTATAAATATAAAATCCATCGCTGGCTCAAATACTCCAATCGGACTGACAGTATGCACTAAATTTTCATCAACGGTCTACAGCCAGAAACTTTAGTTAAAAGGCCTCGCCAAAATGAAGTGCGCCATATTAATACTGCGATTATTCGAGTAACTCCTCAACTACTACTCACCGATCAGTAGAGTATTAATTTTGTTACACCTTATCGAGAGCATTCAAAGCAGTGCAAAAAAGGCTACACAGCCATCATAAAAATAACTTACACCTATGTACACGTGAGACAATTTAATGCTTGTACTATGTAATTTTAATTCGGTGTAATGACAGGAAACAAGCGCATCAAATCGACCGGAAACGGGGGAAAATATCGTTTAATTTAACCAATAAAATGCGGCGCGTATGCACCGTCGCCGGATTAATGCCTGAAATAATGTAGCATAAAAACTGTAAATTTCATACAAATAAAAAACAGAGAAAAGATTTCTTAGTTCAAGCAAACAACACTTGGGGCTTGGTCTTCGTCCATCGCGCAGTTTACCTTACAATTGTTAGTCTAGTCTAGTTTAGCTTGATTTAGTTTTACTTTAACTTACTGTAGTTTGTTAAGATTAATATAACACAATTTGAAGCGATCAGGCGAACCGCGAGCAACAGAGCTTTTGCGTCAACGGATCGGCAGAGAAATTATATTCAGAGAGGAAACGCGACATCTACTAGTATAATGGGAACAGCGCCACCGGCGGTGAATTTGGACGGAATTTTTTCGGTTAAATTCGTCCGCCTGTGCTTGTAGATGACCGTATATTATACAATAATATGCAAGCCAAATTCGTAATTCGGTGCGTAAAGCCGGTAAAGGTGCAGCGAAAAATGCGAATTAATATGTGGCAACAAGTTGGCAGAATCTGCTGATGGTAATTTAGAAGAGAAAACAATCCGATTGAGGTGCTGATAACGATAAATCTGAAGCAATCTGCATAGTTTAGGACCTTTGCTCATACATGTGTTGTGTACACATTTTGGCATAAGCACTAGACTACTAGTCACATCATTCCAAGTAAACAAGACAATAAATGCGTAGTAAACAAGCAAGCCGCATTCAGAATTTAAATCAGTAACATACTAACATATATTACCGAACAAATTGTTAAACTGATCATCTTCCTGAACCGATACCGCTAAAAAATTAAAAAAAAAAACAAGAAGCGACTAGTAAGTCTAAAAGGCGGGACTATCACCATCTGAAAAAACTACCAACGCCTTATTCCATATTATGCCGCAGAAGGAGAATTTATTTAACACGAAAACTATTACCATATTCCATGTTGATAGAAAACAAAATCAGTTCCACTCTGTTTTTTTACCACATTCTCAGTGCAACAAATAAAAATGTCCGGAAAAATCAAAATGGGCAGTCTATCGTCACCGCCAGGCCATTAGAAAGCTCGGCTGCGATCCGGCGTCTGCACAGACGGCGATTGCGATACAGCCGGAATACCGCAGTTACGAAGTCCGATACCGTCATTGGCGTCATACCATTCAATACACCAATCTGTCACAACAGAAAAGTATCAAGCTTTAATGATCAGCAGTACTACCCTTCTGCAAAAATTCTCACCGGCTCGGGACCGTCCGGTAGTTCAGCCAGCTTGGGAAAGCGGCCTAGTGCAAGTGGGAATGCGTCACCTAGCATCTGACGACGGTTGACGGCGGAGGGTTCCATGTTATTCCGCTTACAGGCTTCGACGGACCAGCTGCAATGTCATGCATGCTCAAAAGTGCAAAAACAGCAGCTAGATTTGGCAGGGCAGAAAACTAACAGTTTACAAATCATAATATAAAATACAATACCTCTCCATAGCCAAGAAAATGACACCTTCATCAGCCGACAGCGTATTGCGCTGCAGTATGGTGCGCAGTGTGTCCTGACGGATGTTAGTGAAGTGTTCCGATCGCAGAATCTCCTCAGCCTTCTCATCCAGCAAATTCAAGCACTCCTCCACAATATAACCAGCATGGCACTGGACTGCCTGCAGTACATGTTCATTCAGACATTCGCTGTCATGCTTTGAACTTCGTTCCAAAGCCAATTGAAAAAATCAAACCAAATTATATTTTATTTTATTTTTATATATATATCAACATATTCATTATCTGCCTATCTGATTGATCAGGCGTATTTGTAGCTTTCCCACCTGTTCCAAAGTGGATAAGCAGTTGGTAACGTTCAGCTGGCTGACGATCTCGTCCGCACAAGCTAGCACCAGCGGCGCAACGTCGTACTTGTCCGCACATTTCATGGTGTCGAAAACGTTGTCAGGGCTGAGATTCTCCGCTTCATCCGTGTACATGTAGCTGTAAATATTCGTCCGCGATATTTTTTTACTTTGATTTGTTTTCGCTATTTATGATACTTCAGTAGTAAATTAATTAAATATCAAAAATAAATTTTTTCAGATATACTGATATAATCATATACAGATAAACTATAAACTACAGATATACAGATAAAAATAAATTTTTTCAGATATGCTGATATTATACAGATAAACTTCGGAGTCCTATTAATTTTAAACTTTTAGTTCATGCCTGTTTATCTTTATCGCACACAGATTTCAGTGGCGTATTAAATTAGCCCTTACCTGAGCAAGTTTGCGAATGCATCAGGAGTAAAATCCGGAATGTCAATGGGAATACTGCCGTCGTAGCTGTCGGGAAAAATTCTGTAGAGCATGTTGCGAAATGCTGAACTGTGCATTGCCAAGATGTTCCTAAAAATTAGGTCCGAAGAAAAGTTACTAACAGATAGGTGACTACTGGTGAGTACTGACTTTCCAGTTTACAGTCTTTACTCGCTATTCCCTACGGCCCAATATAATGCATTAGGGCCTACTGAGTAGGCCCTAATGCATCATGCAGTTCTCAAAATTAATAGAATCACTCTATCAAAACCAATACTTGTGAGCTTCAAAGATTTTCACTGCGCCAAAATAACGGCCAACGGCGAAGCGCACATCACTGAAGGCTCCACTGGCTAGCATCTGTTTCATGCATATGGCGGGTCCCACAGCAGGTTCTTCGTGTGCAGCATGCTTTGTTGACACCATTCTGATGGAAAACGGCTAAACAACAAGACAGCAGTAGGTACGTTGTACGGGTACGTAACGCAGTGAGACTCTGTCACTTTGGTGATTCCAAATTTCAGATCACGTGAACCGAAAATATGATGCAAGGGTAAATCAAGAATTTCTAAAAACAAAATGTGAATTGTGAAATAGATGATCAGGGAACAGCTGACGAAGTGATTTTGACGGACATTTGGACGCAGTCACCCTGTACGAGTGCTTATGTAGCTACGCGGGTTACCAACGACACCGTGAGGTGGTTGCCTTGTTACTATGGTGAGCCGCCGGGGTAAAAATCAGTTACTTTTGTTTCGATCGTTTTCTAACTTTTCCTGATTTTTGTTACGTGTCCCAAACTTTTTCTGTCGCTGCGACTTTGTTAAATTACTAGTAGCACATTCTCCAAAATTTTTCGAAGTCACCGGAAAATGAAGTAACGCTGTTCTCCTTGAGAGTTAATATTATTTGTTCAAGTTTCAGCAATTCAGCAGCTTGAAATGGCACCTGCATTGCGGCCGCACATTCAACATTGTATACGACAACATTAAGAAATCAACCGGCAACGTACATGGAAAAATGTGATCGCACTGGGCCAACAAAATGTCGCACGTGCGCAGCGCTGTAGGACCAAAAAATGCTGTAATGATGTTATAACGCGGGGCCGTATGGGCGCCACGCGTATCCTCGACAGCGAACAGCGGTGAACCCGGATGAGGCTTTATTGCCGAATCTAATGCGCACCGTGGCGCAGCAACACCAGACTAACAAGGAAGGATTCTGCAGCCAGTGCAACTGTGCTGCAGATCCGTCAAAACAGCGCAGCAATGTGCGGGGTGGAAATCCCCAGAAACAGCGAATAGCTACTCAGGAGGGCGGAGCGCCCCGCCTTACAATGTACAAAACCCTGAAAAAAAAGCCACGCTTTGTTTGAAAAACAAAAAAAGATTGTCGCGAGAAAGGAATAACACCTTTTCAAAAATTCGGATTGAAGGGTGGGAACGTTGCACTCAGTGGTTGGTCAACCGCGCTCCGAGAAATTGTTCTACATCCACCGTATTGTTTTGGAGAGACGCTTTTGGTGAGGCGACTTCTTATATTACGCCGGTACTGCTGTTTCTAGACGTGGTGAGGCCCTTTGTTATTATCTGTTTAAGTAAAATACTTGTTTTTGATGTCACTTGTGCGATTCTACTATTTTTGTGGCTATTTATTCGCGATTTATTTTTAGACGGATAGCGGTATTTTTGTGATTTCTTTTATTTCATGTTTTGTTTAAGCAGAGTACATTCTTGATTATTTGATTTTGAATTTTTAGTCATTTTGTTTCTGTTTATTTGGTTACTTTTTTATTAGTGATTTCTTTGTATGCGTTTCGTGGTCTCGTATCAAGTTTAAGCTGCTTTAGCTGCGCTTTCCACGGGGTCCAGTTGTTCAGTGGTCCGGTGTTGCAGATGGCAAATGCCAGGCCTGTAAGCGGAATAACAAGGATCCGTTCGCTGCCAACCACCGTACCGTCAGATGCTTGGCGACGCCCTGTTCCTGGTGCGCTTCGCCTGTGTCGGCGGCGGATGGGCCCGCGACGGCGAGCGCGTTCGCGCTGCTACATAGGGTAAATATTCTGTGCAGTTGTGCTGTAATTAGAGTGGTCTGCTGACGGAAACCGAGCTGGTGAACCTCTTTATACACCAGAACGCCGCATTGAAGCCGGCTTAATTACCCTTCCCCGTACGGAGCTGCGAGGCAGTGTACGTGCCGATGCCCAAGGGATATTTCATCTGGGCGATATCGCGCAAGGTCCGAGTGGCTTCTGGGAGCTGGCCAAAATTATTGGAATGTGTCAGCTGATGCCGGTCGGTCAGTGGGACGTGGATGGCTGCGAAGACTAGCTGTGGAGGCCGAAAAGGTCATTATAGCTAGCTTCCGACATATCAGCAATTCCAAGCAGTGAGCAAGCCAATCATGGAGCGATGTTTCCTCGAGCGCATCTTGCTTTGATCTCAGTTTGGTCTGTGCGGTTCTAGATGTGCTTATGCGGCGTTCGTACTTCTACGTAGTGATGAAGGTAAATTTTCTGTTATCACGCACGAGTACAATGTGTTCGGCTAATAACAATTCTGTTAAAGCTTGTCGAAAGCACCACTAAAATGATAGCTACACGTGGAGACACTATATCACAAATCAACCGGAAACGTGAAAAAAAAACGCCGGCCGCCGAACATAACCAACAAAATGGCGCGCGCGCGCACAGTCGTCCAGGTTAGTAATTAAAATGGTGGCGCAGAAAATCTGTTATAAACTAAAAAAGTATGCCTAAAAAACAGAAAAGATCGAAACAGAGAAATCCAACAAAACAAACAACGCTCGGGCACTGCATATGTACATCGCATGGCTGCCCGTGTTACGGGGGCAAATTGCTGCGTGTTTGCTGCTGTTAGGAACACAAATCCAACACAAAGGAGCCATACAAAAAGCTCTGGCGGGGTGGATTTACACTTTACAGAACCTTTTTCGGGAACAGAGATTAACTGCAAAAAAAATTATTTTGCAGCTGTACTTGACAAGCACCAGGCTTTGCTAATGATAGACAAATGTCGATCCCTTCAATCTAGCAAAATGCTCTAAAAATCCTAGCAGTCACCTTTCTATCTCTGCTTGAAAATTAAATGCTATTAAAAATTAAAACAAAACGGTCCCAAATTATTCCCAATACGCGCGGAAGAAACTCTGTCTTTGTTCCTGGCGTGTCCCGTAACCGCCATCCCCCCGTCGTTGCGCTTGGTGGTAAGCCAACCGCCCAAAGGATCCGCTGTTATGCTGTAGCAGCGCTGCAGCTGCACAGTACACTGTACAGCGTTGCATTCAGACACTCGGCAGGCTGTTTTTGGTTCTTGTTTTTCTCCTTCTCGCATCACTGTCCGAGATTTGATTTGCTGCTCTTCTTTTCATTTTTTACAAAAGTACAATTATAATAATAGCCAAAATTTGTGGTATGTGTTGGTTTGTTTTGTTTCGGAATTTTATAATCTTCGGCGTCTAGGTGCGCTAAGTGCTTTTGTTTTGCTAGCTATTTGTCAGTTTCCCATCAAAATGGCGTCCGCTAATCGACCGCAAGAAGGAGAACCGGCCTCGGCGCTCGTCAGCTGTATGAACTATGAAGCAGACTTTAACCAGTGGAGATTTCAGTGATGTGCGATTCGTCGTCGGTCGTCATTTCGGCCCAGTGAAAACCTTTGAAGCTCACAAGTAATCACAACGTTTCTCACCCTGATCTGATTCTGTTTGGTAACTGACGTTGCGCTTGACGCGCCAGTCTGTAGTTCATCATCAGCTTATTACCGCTTGTGACCTTTTCTAATTTTGTATAGGCCCATTTTGGCAATGCGCAGTTCCGTGTTTCGCGCCATGTTCTACGGAAGCTTGCCCGAGAATTGCGCCGTTCCCATTGACATCCCGGATTTCATTCCTGATGCATTCGCCAACATGCTCCAGTACGCCAAAGATTTCTGTACACTTGCAAATAAAAAGAACGTAGTTGCAGTCATAAAATGATAGACTCAATGCTTGCCACATACAATATAAATCATATAAGATGCTTGAGATAAACAGGGAAAAATGTGCAATAGAAAAGTATTGAATGAAATACTTTGTTAAGGATCTTTGAAACTGCTTTTGGGTTATGTTTTCCTTTCCATCGTCACAGCTACATGTACACGGATGAAGCGGAGAACATCAATCCTGACAATGTTTTTGACACCTTGAATTGCGCGGACAAATACGACGTGGCGCCGTTGGTGCATGTCTGTTGGAAGAAGATTGCCAGTCAGTTGGACGCTAACAGTTGCCTGCCCGCTCTGGAACAAGTCTGAGCAGGAAATTGCAAAACCCAGATTTCAATTTCGTTTCACTGTTCTGATGCTCCAGTTTTTATTCGTAGTTGTTAAGCTAATCAAAATCTTATTTATCTTTATCTGTAGGGTTCGGCTTGGTGAATATTTCAAGGCACTTAAAATTGGATAGCCTTTGATTGTTTTTATTAGGATACCTTATAAAATTTGATTAACTTACGGTTTTTCTACCGGCTAACTGATGGGAAAAACATGACGACCGGCATAGCTGTGTCCTGTTGCAGGCAACACGTTGGCATGCGGATGATATTCGGGAAAAATGCTTGGACATGCTGGATAAGAAGACGGTGGAGATTCTGCGATCGGAACAGTTCATTAACATCCGCCAGGACACACTGCGTGTCATACTGCAACGCAACACGCTGTCTGCTGAGGAGCACGACATTTACCTAGCTGTCGAGAGGTATTTCGATGTTTTTGGTATTCCGGACATTCCACATTTAATTTATTCGCATACCGGACACCAAAAACACGATATTCTCTGCGTTGTTCCACATGACAAAACCTTTTCTAAAGACTAAAATATTAAGTGATAATTATTGCTTTTATACCAGACCGTACACGAGTTTGATAAACAGTTCGTTTAGTTTTTGTGATGATTATTGATCTGGTAAACTGATCTGTGATTCTGATCTGTAATTCAGCTACTGCACTAAATACACGACTTTCTTAATAATCCCGTTGCAGATGGGCCGTGGAAGCCTGCAAACGGAACAGCATGGAGCTGTCGGCTGTCAACCGGCGTCAGATGCTGGGCGATGCGATCTTCCTGGTGCACTTTCCCCTGCTGACCGTGGCGCAACTGTCGGATGGTCCCGCGACGGTGAGCGTTTCCCGTTATGGATGTTGATGCTGATGCGCGACATAGAGGTGTAATGCATTGCCGTTGTTATAGAGTGGTCTGCTGACAGAAGCCGAGCTGTTGAGCATCTTCCTGCACCAGAACGCCGCTTCGAAACCGACTTTGCTCTTCCCCACGGAACAGCGCCGCGATGTGCAGCTGCCCATGGGGTTCCGGCTGGAGGATATCGTGTTCGCACAGGGTCCATGCGGCTCCTGGGACCTGGCCAAAATTATTGGAGTACGCCAATCAATGCTGGTTGTTCGGTGGGCGGCGGATGGTCGCGAAGGCAGTGTGGAGACAGGTAATGTCGTTCTAGCTACCGACATTCGAATCAACAACGCTTCAATAATGAAAATACGTGGTTTCTTCTTATACTCGCGTGGCTTTACACTGAATGTTTGATTATGGGAGATGGACAGCTATCTTCAGTTGGTGATGTTCTTCCAGTGGAACGCCTTTATAAGCACTGGTCTCGAGTGTTCTCTGATGTTTTTTGATACTCGTACTTTTGCGGTGTTAGTACGGATGTGAAATAATGTCAAAAATTGGAAGTTTATGAATTCTTTATTAAGTAAACTAAAAGTAAAACGCAGTGAATTAGGAAACAGGAAACCAGAGAAACCGCTTTGCCCAACAGCGCATCAATGTATGTCCCGAGGCGGCGAGCCAATTATTGCAATGTCGCGGGACATGTACTTACAGATACACGGACAAATTAACCTCCGTTATATAATCCATTATAATTATACGAAGCTACCAATAATCCTACCATCCCATGCATGATCCCATCGAAATAACCTTATGCTGCAACCGACTAGGAAAACAGCTGGTAGCTGTCATTGCTGATTCGCCTGGTGACGTAAAAACTCAGGGTCAGACAGTATGGCCGGACTAGGTGCACGGCCGCTCACTGCATATGTTCCTCTCAGCGCGGTGCCCCGATAATTAATGACGGGAGGTGTGAGGTTGTGCTTAAAGGGCGACTTCTCCTGGATGACAGAGAAGCCGGTGATGCGCGATGCGGGGCTTCGGTCACCGTCGGGGAATGTTGATGGAGAGGTTCGGTGAGAGTCGATCGCGTACATGACACTCTCCAACGTATAGAAGAATATGCGTGGATACTGGCCGTAGCGCGTCTCTTCCACGGGTGGAGATACTTGTGCCTTGTGCTAGGTAGCCGTTATTGATGGAACTTGCGCCACATGCATAGTCCGGTGACCAGACCATGTGATGGAAGCTCAGACGGTCTTTAATTTGGTGTGTGGGAACATCACACACACTGCTTAACTAATTGCACTGTCGATCTGTGTAACGGCAAGGTGCGATGCCCGGCAAGGTGCAGGCAGCGGCCGGATTTAAATTTTGAAAGTGGTGCTAGTTCTTCTGCACTAGTATACTTGATGCCGCTACAATGGATGCTTCGGCTGCAGTGTATATATATATTTGATGCCGCGAGCTGTCTGGAAAGGTCATGCGGGTTGGCAGCCAACCGGGGCTTCCGACATGTGACGATTGCTGCTACATTCCTAAAAATATTCGCTACATACCTAGCCAACACTTGCACAGACCAAACAAACGGCTGGACAAAGGATTTAGTGGACTACTTCGAAAGTAAAGAGAACTTAGCATACATGCAGTATCATAACCTTTGCGGCAGTGAAAAAGTAATAGTAAAGCAAATCAAAAGTATACGACAGTAGTACGTGGTCCAGAAAGCTCAGTAATCCATCGCTGATTTGCTCGAATTCAAGGGACACTGGGACGGCGAATTCAGCCAGAACGCTCGCTCTACCTACTTCAGGCGTCGGCTGCTTTGATGTAGTACCAGGGCATATTATACACTTTTGTATACAAAGTTACAAACGGTATGTGTACTCTGTAATTCAGTGATGTCCCGTTTTTTTCACGGGCTCGGTAAATCACGGGAATTTCCCGCACCCCGCACCCGCTTTTGCTCGGAAAGCGGTGCGGGAGATTTTCTGCTCGGATCGGGTGCGGTCGGGATTAAAGCTTGATAAGTACGCCCGCCCGCTGCTCGGAAAAACTCGGGATTTATTTGAATGGTGAAAAATTAAATTATCTGCAAATTAGAAATTTAAAAATTATTTTGTAAGCAAGCCACCGTAGCATGTAGCAGTAACTTGCTGTAACTAATTCCACTGCTCCGCGTTCCAGTAGCTGTTGTAATCCCATTGCCGCTGGCTGGCGGCTGCAGACTGCAGTTCACTTTCAGTACCGTAACTTTCACACTTCCAGTATCGCTCTTTGTCTCGTGCCTTGGCACTGGAATTAACGAAAATTCAATTTCACTGCCAACCATCTGTTTTTAACTGTTTGGCCAGAGACCGTAAACTGTAAAGTGAGATCAAACGTGTTATGATTTATCGGGAGTTTAGAGTTAGTTAATTTTAATTCCATTTCTAAGGAACTGAAAGCAAGGCTGGGTTACTGTGTTGAGTGTGTTCTCATTACGTTTGACTTCTTGATGATTGAAAAGCCATGCAGCAATCTATTGTTATTGACGATGATGACGGCCAAGAACCCGAAACCAGCGCTTCTTCTCCGAGTTCTCCGACTGCCCCGGAATCTCCCCAAGCGCCGAATAATTCCTCCGCTGCGAAGGTTTCCGCAAAAGAATACTATGAGGCATTCTTCGTTAACCCCGTATGCAAGACTGAGTATGCTAAAGGACAGGCGAGAAGCTGGAAAAAGTACTCCGCGACGTGTAAACTGTGTGCTGAATCGGATGCAAAGAGACTGGTGAATGGAGGAGCGGATAGTTTCGACGCGTTCAAAAAACATGTCACGCGGCATCATTCAAAGACGAAGGTATGGATTCCGTGCTATGGAGATACATAATTTAGTGTACAGTTTACTAAACAGTGTTTAGTTTACTACATAGTACAAAGTTGTTTTTATCAGCTAGCTGTCACGTTTGACAAATTGGCACTAGTATTTCTTACTCAATGGCATTTTCATGCTTTGCAGGACTACATGGAGTTTATTGCTAAGAAAGTCAAAGATAACGAAATCTCGCGAACAAAGCTATCCAGAGAGCAGCCCACCATGACCGATTTCGTGATACAGAAAGCAGAACTGTATGGCAAGAACCATTGAAACAGATTCGGCTAAATGACGCTGTCGGAAATATTATGCTAAAACCCTCGCACCGCCGTCCATGCTTGGCGACATAAGTTTCGATGAGGCTATCAAGATTGGTGACAGCAAACTCAAGGTTAGTGCAAAGTACGTACACTTTTTCATTATTTGACTTAACGAAAACAACTGTTATAAGTGCAGCGTAAAATTTTAAATACATGTAAGTTTATTTTGAACATGTTGATGCTCAATATTGTAATATTTGTTGATAAAGTTTTCATTATTTAGTGGCCTCGACGACACCAGCTGACACGCCACATCCTGCCAAAATTCGAAAAAGAAATTCGTGAGAAAATACAGATCTTGTTGTCTACTACCACAGCTGTATCACTGAACGTGGATTTGTGGACGAGCAAGAGATGCCATGGCTATATGGGTGTAACTGTTTCGTTTATCGATGAAAAATTTCGCCTGCGAAATTTCGTGTTGGGATGTCCGCGTTTTAAAGAGTCGCACACTGCAGAGAATATTTTTCAACTAGCTACCGTCTTGATACTCGACTACAACTTGAAGGATGTCCTGCATTATGTTGGGCTTGACAACGGCCGAAATTTTGTAAATGCTTTTGACGACTGGATGCCAAGCCTTTTTCCCGCGGAGTTTTTGCGCAAACCGGATGCGGAAGATGAACACGTTGTCGGTAAATTGTCATGTAGTAAACTGTGCAATTAAAATCAGAAGCATCTGCATTTTCAATGCCTAAATCTATTGTGATTTTTAATATACCAGTTTTGTGTTCTATGCTGCTTACTGTGTAGATGAGGACGGATTTAATGACTGCGTGGAATCCGTAGAAAACGATGATGAAAGAGCGGAGGAAAGCGACCTTGATTTTGATTCCCAGCGCACAGAGCAAGCGTTTCAAAAAATCCGTGACACATACTGCCGGATTCCCGATAGAAACATTGTGGTAAGTTTGTGTGCGAGTGTTTTGTGTTATAATGATTTCTTGTGTATTATTTATATTTCGTATTTAGTATTTACGCAAAAGTTTAGTTTTTTATACTCGTTTGTTGTATTTGTCCTCGCGCGTACTGCCGCATAGTTTATTTGTGATTTTTTTAATTTTGATTTGTAATCATTTTGTTTTTCGTGTAGGTCCGGTGCGCGGCGCACACCTTATCTTTGGCCATTGGTAGCGCAATGGCAGATGCGCAGGTTATCAACCAAGTTATTGAAGGTCTTGCTGGGATCGTTAACCGTGTTAAGCATTCGCAGTCGGAGACAACCATTCTGGAGGAAGCGTTCAAGAAAACCTTTGTCAGCCGCAATCAGACCAGATGGAACTCGAACTTTTTAATGGCCAAGCGGGCAGCGGAATTTGATTGGGAAAGATGTGGACTCTCAGAAAAATATTTTGAAACCTGCGCACCGCCTTGTATTGCAAGCGTTTGTAAATCTTATGGAAGTTTTCAATGCATCGTTTAAGATTCTGCAGACGGCTGACTATCCTGTAATTGGAGACGTTATTCCTATTTTATGTGGACTTCGCAGGCATATCAAAACATGCCAAAAGAATATAGACTTCGTGTTATTGCAAGATTTTATGAAAGGCTTGCTGAAACAACTAGACGAAAGATTTGGTGCTGTGGAAAAAGACAACCTGTACCTTGCCGCTGCTTTTCTGGATCCCAAATATAAGCTTCTGTGGTGTAATAGTTTTGGACCTGAGAAATCTGCTGAGATGGTTCTCAAAATCAAGGCGCTCATGCTGGGCATGATGCAAGAAGTTGGCTGCGGTCAAGACGTGCAGTTTAAAGAAAGTAAGTGAAAAAGAATCACAGTTAAACTAATTAAGTATTAAGTCGTATTTGAATTTTACTGAATCATTCGTTTATCCTTTCCGCATATTGAGTATTTATTTATGTTTAGGCAAGAATAGTTTTGTCGGTCCGGATTTCCTGAACTTTTTATACAGAGGACAAAGTAGCTTGTCGATGCGACAGGACAGCGGAAGTGACAAAGCTGCAACGTGCGAAACTGAACTAGAGATGTATATTGCCTCTTCGTGGATAGGGACAAACCCCTTGGAATTCTGGAAAAGTGCTGAAGCGGCCTGCTTGCCACGTTTGAAAATTCTTGCCAAACAAGTTTTATGCGCTCCAGCAACGACCGCTGACGTCGAACGGATGTTTAGTGTTGCGGAATTTTGCTCAGTAACAGGAGATTAAAAACTTCGGATGAGCATTTCGAGAGATTACTGTTTTGTAGTATTAATAAGCGGCGGTTAGATGGTGATTTAAATGTCGGTGGTAAGAGAAAGCTGAATAGTTGACGGTGATAATAAAATGTACGGCGATACTATAATTTCAAGCTAAGGGTGAAATTTTAAAAGTAAGATTTACTATGCAGGTTGAAAAATTAGTAACTTTCCATACGTATGGCATACTTGAAACATTTTAACAAAAAAAGGCTGTAACAATAACATGGTTAAAAAAATTATTTTATTGAAAATCGGGAGTCGGAGCGTGGTGCGGGACTGTCCGAGCGCTCGGGTGCGGGAGCGGGTGCGGGAAAGTTTTTGATCGGGAAAGTGCGGTCGGGACAGGAAAAATTGTAAACGGGACATCACTGCTCTGTATACATGACTCGTACAGCATTGGATGCCGATATTCGATCCATACTAATTTCTTAAGTACTGCACTCGTCGTACAAAGGCTGGGCCCTATTCGCTGAACGAAAACAGTAAGTAAACAGTAAGAATGTAAAAAGAAAGTGAAAATTCTAACTGTTTACTAAGTGGCTTTAAAGTTACTTGCTCAGTAAGCCAAGTACTACCTAATAGTAACACTTTTAAAGTGCGTAACAGAAATTGAACCATTCAACTTTTGTACTAATTTTACTAGCAGTTTACAGGAATATTGAAGCGAAGGGTTTTAGTTTTAGTTTGGCGCAGCAAGTTAGCAACCGTACCGGTCCGTACGTATACCGGAAGTCGCCTTTAGCTAGGTGTGATCTATGGCGCTCTGTCCCTGCGGCCAAGGCTCAGTATAAATTTTAATGTTAGAAAGCAAATTTCGCGCGAGCGCGAAGGTGCAAACAAATTAATGATAAATTCGCAAATTCAAATAAAATTCTTAGTATAGAGTATCTATATTGACAATTAGAATTTTCCTTTTCTTCTACTTACTTTTTACTGCTGTCATTACCTTATAAATTACTGTTACTACTGGTCGAAAACGTTACTGGCTAGTAGCCAGTGGCTACTGAATGCTTACTGTATGTTTAATACGAGTTTTTACTAGCTGTACTAGATTTCCTTACTAGCTGTACGTCTAAGGTCTGTAACCAGTAACCCATCACTGGAGCAAATACATTACTTCGAAGTACGCTTATTGTATTTTATAGTTCAAGCTTAGAGCACGCCATTCGTTAGATACGCCATGCTGGCACCGATTCGGGAAATTAAAAAGAACTATCATGGAAAAATTCCACAATCAACCAAATGCTAAAGTATCTTCCTGTCGTTGCATCAGGTAATAAGGCAATCGCCCAGAGATGCCGCAGTAACGTTACTGTAATTGTTGAGATTAAAGCGTTGCGCACAAAGCACACTGCACTGTTCACTCACAGGCAGCATCTGGACACTGGGCAGGCTTTTTCGATGTGGACGCTTGAGGCATCCACATATATCCCGCTGTTCGAAAAATGTTTTCCAGATATACAGTTTTCCAGATTCCAGATTGCAGCAGTACTTTGCTCCCAGTTGCAGTTTTCCAAAATGACCGTGTTGTGTACTGCACTGGATTGCCGATTGCTGTATAACAGTCACATTGTTGCATTCTGAGGAAATTTGTTAGCATCAAAATGGCCTCCACACATCATCCACAAGGAGAAGCACCTGGTTCGGGACTTGCCAGCTGCATGAAGCAAACACTATCCAGTGGAGAATTCAGTAATGTGCGATTCTCCGTTGGCCGTCATTTTGGCCCAGTGAAAATCTTCGAAGCTCACAAGTACTTAATGGTTTTCTTTATAGTGAATCAGTGATCCGATTTTATCTGCCAATATCTGGGAACAAAATAATGAATAAAATATCTTCCCTCAGCTTTCTCCATTTGCACCCAATTTTTTAGGAATATTTTGGCCATGCGCAGTTCCGTGTTTCGCGCCATGTTCTACGGGAGTTTGCCCGAGAATTGCGCCGTTCCCATCGATATTCCGGATATCATTCCTGATGCATTCGCCAACATGTTGAAGTAGGCACGACATTATGGTAATCGGAAATGTCGTAAAGATCTCTACAGTACGATGATGATGATTCCGATGATGCTTTCATGATGATGATTTTTGATTGATGATGTATGCCAAAAAAAATCGGATGTGCTTAACAGTGTTAATTAACTGTCAGTTAAAAATATTAATAAATAAAATACCTAAGTAATGAAGATTTTAGGAAAATTAATTTCAGTAGAAAAATTTGTAATTAGGTATTTATTGTTAAAAAATAAGGAAAAATACATCAAACATATATACATACATTTTAAAACCTCCTCGCCGCAATTTATTACTTGAAGTAACTTACCGTGGCTCTTCTTTTTACCGTTATAGCTATATTTACACTGATAAAGCGGAGAATCTCAACGCTGACAACGTTTGTGACACTATGAACTGCGCGGACAAATACGATCGATATTGCGCCGCTGGTGCAAGCCTGTTCGGAGAAGATTATTAGCGAGCTAAACGTTGAGAACTGCTTGTCAGTTCTGGAACAGGTCGGTCTAGTATATTACAAATATATAAAGCCTCAATGAATTAACGGGATATACTTGTTTGAAACATGCCACTATTTATGGCTACTTTGAAAATTTTTTCTGTGCCTTGTTTTGGTCCGTTTTAGAAGTGTATAGGCTCATTAGAAAGCTAAAAAATCGCGCTTTTTAACAGATAGATTTTCAAAAGCAGCGCTAAAAGCACAAATGTTAGAAACATTTTTATGTTGCGTTTGCCCTTAAAAAATCCCATCCAAGCAGTAAATGAAACATCTTCAGGTTTGGTGTTTTCAGTTGAAACATACAATTATTTTACATACTGGGTTTATTTGAAAAAAACTTTGAATGAAAAGCTAAAAAGATGTGAATTTTTAAACATAGAACTAATTGTTCTTACCGATAAAACCACTGAGCGCTGGAGTTCGAAAGATTCTTCGCAAAACCAAGAAAACCCAGTATGTAGAATAATTTTCTGTTTCCAGTGGTACCAAGAACATCCAATTCCATTGCGGCAATGGAATACAAAACGCGTAGAACTGTCCAAATATTATTCCTAGTAAATTAGGGTCTCCGTGTTTCGAAAATGGTCCGCTGCATCGGTGCACGAGTTTGAGGAGACAACCACGCTACCTGCAGGCTGCGCATGGCGTTCATGAAATCGCAGCCTGCGCACGGTCGTAGCGCTACGCAGACACGCAGCCCGCGTGCGGTTGGGTACACTTTGAAATTCGAAATGGCAGCTACGTGAATCGAACCGTGCTGCTGCACCCGTGCGTCATTTTAGACCCCCGGTACTTTTTGGTTTTAGACAGATTTCTGTTTCTGTTCAGTTTCTATGCTTTTCAAAAGATCTCTCATTTTAAAGAGCATTTTTTTCTATTCTACAAAATGTAGTTACTGTATCTTCTCTAGGAATGAAGCAAAACAAATAGATCGCCTTAAATGGCCGTATAATTACGATATCTTCAGATACTGTTAGCCGTGAATCAGATAATGTCTTTGTCACTTGTTAATTACACGTGTGACCTTGTTACTAGTGTGGGTAATTAATGATGTTTTCAATACATTTTTATAAAGATTTTCAAATGGTTACCATAATCTAATTAAGGATTGATAAATAAAATTTTATGCGATAGATTGAGTACAGAGTACTACAAAACGTATAATTTGTTACGACTGGCTGACGAGGCACTCTTAACGTACTGAGCGAAGCTGTGTCACAGGAGGTCCATTGGCACCCGGGCAAGGATGTCATTTTGCCCGAATGCTGGAAATTGTTGGAGGAGAACACGTATGCAATTTTTGAATCGGAGTACTTCATTAGCATCCGTCAGGATACACTGCAAAGCATACTGCAGCGCGACACGCTGTTGGCTGGAGAGCATCTTATTTACTCGGCTGTTGAAAGGTACTTGTACAAGTACTACTCCCATGATTGCATCATATCTATACGAAGTATATTTAAATTATATACGCACAGTATACTGATCTTTTTCTACTTTTGCACAAGATTAACTGCTGCGATTGCATTTTTCTCATGAGTCGCGTTGCAGATGGTCGGTGGAAGCCTGTAAGCGAAATAACATGAACCGTCCGCGGCCAACCGGCGTCAGATGCTGGGCGATGCACTGTTCCTGGTGCGCTTTCCCCAGCTGACGCCCGCGGAACTGGCGAATGGGCCCGCGACTGTGAGCGCATAATCATTTCCAGCTGTAATACTGCTAGACACGAGTCTAACTAATTACAAATGGCCTATTTTGACACAGAGTGGGCTGCTGACGGAATCCGAACTCCTGAGCATCTTCATGTACCACTATGCCGCCGTAAAGCCGCCATTACCGTTCCCCACCGAGTGTCGACGCTGGTTCGGGTGCAGGACACCGGAATCTGACGACTCCGAGGAACGCTATATGTCGCTTGATCTTTTTGGGCATCTGTAATGAGTTTTACCACACATCAATAGTGGGTCACGGGAATGCTGTTAAAGGTTTAAATTGTAAATTCCATATGCGCATCTATAATAAACCGCGTACACGAATCGGAAACGTGGAAAACACTGTTCAGTTTAGCCAGCATTCCAACAAGATGCTCTGCACACGAACCATTGTGAAATCCATAATTACCTAACAGCATGCACGGGAAAATTTTGGTAAACACTACTGAGTATACATTTAAAAACAAAAAAAGAGCTCCGGTGGCATCCCCTGGCTTTAGCTAAATACTGTAGAAGATTAATGCGCAAAATACTGCAAATAAAATATGCTTAACTACTGTATGATAGACTACACAAAGAATGATAGACTGAAGACACTACCATTATTACAATCAACCGGAAACGTCGAGAAAAACACCGTTGAATTTGACTAGCAAAATGGCGCGCGCGCGGACCGGCGCCGAACCGGTAATTAGAATAATGAAGCGTAAAAATCCTGTTAAATTAAAAACTATACATTTACACAAACAAAAACAAAAAAGAGAGAGACATGCAAAAAGCAGAGAAAATTATCAGTCCAGCAAGCAACATTTGGTGACCGTTCATCGTGTAACGCTACGCCGCGATCGCCGAGAGTGTCGGATACCATTGGTGAATCATTTTTTACATCATTTATATATACGCGTATGTATACGTAGTAGCACAGCTATATCTTCAAGCAATAAGTATTGTAACGATAGAAAATCTTAGTACCGCCAGTTTGGATTGTTAATTGCTTTTCTACATCAGTTATTGGTTCATTCGTTCCTTGTCTTCCTCATTAAGATCATGTGAATCAGCATCTCATTGCCTTAAAGCTTTACCGCTACAATCTCGATGCTCTTGACTTTTACTTTTGCGCACTAGATTCATTCTTGGATTTGCTTCTTGCCAGCTAGCTAACCTTGCTTTTTGCCTTCTTGCCCTGTGTACTTGCTAATAAGAATCTTGCCGTGACTGCCATGTCTTGCGTTGTTGTTTGTAATCACGTTGAGATGAATCGTCTCATCTCACACAGTGTAGTTGTGTAATTGCCACCTTACTTCCGGTCAGCATCGCTGCTGACCGTGCCAGCCTTTTGATTGTCAGTTAGCCTTAACAGCCGCTACATCGTGGTACGGTGGATTAACCATCCCACTATAACAGCAGTTTTAACCGGCTGCTATTGCATGGCGCTCCTGGACTTCGGACCAGTTTAATTCTATCCGGCGCCGACTCTCTTGCCAAAATCACACGCCCCACATTACCTGGACGGCTTTCCAAGGAAGGCAAGCGCCTCACCTGCACATCGCGCGCTGCCACCCACCACCAGAAAGTCTTCCTTGCCATTCATAAGGGACCGGAAATACCGGCTTTCCTTAAAGATTACCGCATACCGCGAGTGTCAATGGGTAAGTTACTACCATATGGCAGTTGGTAAAAACACAATTACAATTTTGTCGGATTTGATTACTTATATTTCCACCTAAGCCGGCTAAAGTTATCGAAGCCGATGATCTTGTCGTTTTGCACTTACTAACTTCATTATTGTTTTAACTTTCTCATGTCATTGATATTAACGAAACACACATTACATAGGTTTGCATGTTAAATATTATTTCTTTTGTAAATTACATAAATATTATTTCTTTCTCACGTGGCACACCCAATATCGTTTTGTGCGTATCACAGTGTAAGTGCTGTATATGTTAGAGGACGAGCAGCTTACATTAGCCTGGCGCCAGCTAAATGGTTCTTTTCCCACATTACCGAACATAAGGAAGAGAGAAATGTAGATTCCTTTCCCAAACATTAAGAGTATCGCTCCAGTAGATCCATGGCATCCGAGCCAGAATCTTTGACAGACCAGCTGAGCTTTCTAACAAAAGCTCAACTGCTCGCAGTCAGCAAGCGTCTTGACCAAAACATTGCCCAGTCTAAGAAGAAAGGCCACTTCGTGAAAACATTAGCCGAATACATGACAACACATAAAATCCCTTTCTCCACAGTGGATCCTTCACCTCTACCACACCTTGTCAGACAGACAGATTCTCCCTCCCGCAGCTCATACGCGACAGCGCGTTCAGGTTCACAGTTTCACGCGCCGTCTTTAGCTGCGCAACCTGAGCGTGCACCCGATCAGCCCAGAGAGGCCAGAGAGCCAGAGAAGAACCCGCCGTCAGCGTTCAGATGGACTGAGCCGGGGTACAGTACAGAGAGAATTCCCCGCTCACAGTCTCTGCTCCCGTATACTTTTCCAGAGAGTATACAGGACAAGTTCCAGTCACACCCAGCCGCAGCGAGGATGAGAGAATTGTGCCACGCTCTCGACACGTGCTACACGTCTGAGCAGAGGCAGGCCGGCAGGACCAATACAGACGAGTTATTAAACTTGTCGTTGATTGTAGCAGCCGATTGCCTTAAGAGTGCAGCGCAGACTAAACCGGCTGCAGAGACAGTCCAATCTCCTAACATGTGCGTTGACCACAGGGCAGATATTAAACACGAACCGGCAACACACACAGAGAATAGGACGCAGATTAACAGTACACACCGAACTACGAGTATTTATACATTACATGCGCCTGTACATAACAGTATTCCTGACCCGGCACAACCACCAGCTGATCTGACAGATTTGTTACGCACTTTAACGATGAATAACAACAGTGCTAGACTACAGGCTAAGGACTTTAAAATCGAAATTTTTAACAACAAGCCAGATTATATTATTACAGACTTTTTTCAACAGTTTGAGCGTGCCGCTGCAGCGCTTAACTGGGATGCAGGTAGAAAATTACAGATGCTACCGAACTACTTAGGCGATATGCCTAGACGTTTGTTTGAGTCGTTATGGCAGAAAAACTCGCATTTACCATACGATGAATGGAAAGCACAGTTTACTAAGCGATTTTTACCTGAAGATTATGAGTTGACTAAGAGAATGGAATTGTCAAAAAAGGTGTATAAGAAAGGTGCAGATATTAATGCGTTTCTTGATGAAATGGAACTGTTATTTCAGCAGATAGATCCGCTAATGCCTGAAA